CGATGATGAAATTCTCTTATGTCCTTCACACATAATTCCGACGTCCCATTATCTGCACATCCCGAAAGCACAGATGGGCACTTTTCTTGGCCCTTTTTTGTCCTTCTTTGTTCTTTTTTTTTGTGTTAGTTCGTTGACCTTCAAAATGAAAAAAGGGGTAGGAGAGAGGAGAATCCAACTTGAACTAAAACAGAAGAACGTAAAAAATTCAGCTTCTTCAAAGTTTAGAGAAAATTTCATGCCTGCCGTAGTAAGCGATCCAAGACAGAAACCCACTCAATCAAAATATTTTTCACCTTTTTTTTAACTTTCAAATATTTTTTTGCGAGAAAAAAAGGTTCAACCTCAACTTGGTCCAAAATCTGTTTTTCTGTCAAATTTTATGTTTTTCGTGTATTTCAAAGAACTAATTAGTTTTAGCGTTGTTAAGGTTTCCTCAGGTGTGTTTTCGTGTATCCTGGTTACCCTTCGAATAACGTCAGCTTTTTGGCGGATTCCGAGCGAACTTAATCTTTGGTAAAAGCTCCAAATTCGGTATTTGCATTTTTCTTGTTTTGCTTAGTCCAAAAGAAGGTCGACAGAAAATTGATGCCTCAGGAACAAAAACAAGGGCCCATTTTTGGAATTTCAAGTGCTCCAGGTCTCAATTATCATCTAGAGCTTTGGAATTAGATTAGAACCGTTATATAAGTTGACTGGAATTTTAGTTTTGGCGTGGTTCTAGGGTTTTTGGTTTTTTAAAAGTTGAATTATTTTGAATTTCAGGTTCAAATCTTTATTTTTGTTTTTGAACATCCAGGTCATTTTATTGGAAATCTTGGTACTTTCTGAAAATTTAATCCACTTGTTTTTGTAGATAAGATTTTGAATCAGCAATAGTTTCCAATTTCTGGAAATCGCCGTTAAGATTAGGGTAACTTTCTGCGCACTGTTCAAAAAGCTCCATTTTCGAAAATTAAAATATTTGAAGGCTAACTTTCAAAATCTCTTTCCAGTTTCATCAAAAAAGTTAATAGCAAATCATCTTATGGTCACATTTTAAAAGTCCGAACAAGTTGACTTTTATCCTCAAGCTATTTTTCATAAAATTTTGATCTTACTGATTTTTTTTTCCCTAACTTTGGCTTCTTACGCGATCGCTTACGTAGATCTCCAAATTAGGTTATGTTACATGTAGGTAATCGGATATTTCTCTATTATAATCCCAAAGAATAACCCTTGATCTTGGTGCCGAGAAAGTTTCCCTTTCGCGCCAAACTTTCGGAATCCATCTCAATATTTTTCCTTTGTTTTCGCCTTACAGCTCGACCAAAATTCATTCAACTCTGACTTCACGGCGCCGAAAAAAAATAAATCTTGTTTTTCAATTATTGGAGGAAATTCGAAAATAAAAGGCAAAAGATCTGGCGACGGGGGATTCGTTTTCATTGGATTTGACGGGGTTCATTTCTGGAGTTATCGATTTTGTGGCTGTAATAATCGGACTAATCATTGCCTTGTCCCTGAGGTTTTACAATGGAGATTGCAGAAAACGACGTCGAGAGCCGCGCCCTTTCTTTTTTTCTGTGTTTTTTGTTCCCGAATTTTCACTCTTTTCCAGGGTTTCTGTCCGTTTTCAAGCTTTGGTGTCAACTCATGGAAGACGTTATTTTCTTATTGCTTCATTTTTTCCCGATTTTGAAACTGAGCACTTATTAGAAGTTGCTTGAAGGATAGTTATCACAGTATAAGCATTTCATATTTCAGGACTCAAGTTCCGAATTTTCCAGTTTTCTTTCAAGTTCTTAGGGCTTAGAGGCAAGTTTTGAAGAAAGCATCAAGAGAAAAATAGTAGCTATGATATAAAATTCTTCAATAAAAAATCCCAAGTTGAAGTTTATTTATAAGTGCCTTTAACTATAAACTATTCTGAGAAACCTAACTCAAGATAGTTCGTAGAACCACTTCATTTTCCACGTGTAATGAAGTGTTGCTCAAAATAATGAGTACCTCTGAAGATAATTATGAACTGAAGTTTCTCCAACTGAATAAAATGAATATTCAGCATTTTTGCATGAACAAATCCTCATTTGGATATCTAAGCTTCAAAGATCTTCCCAGTCATTTTTTGTTTGTTTGAAGAGTACCATGGAACTTTTATTTTTTGAAACAATAAAGTGAGATTTCTATCAGTGGAAAACAATTTTTTGCAAGGTCTGATTGCAAAATTAGTTAATTAATCAAAAACAAGTTTTCTGATTTTCCGGATTTTTTTAGTTTTGCAAATCAACAGGTCGGATGTCATCTGAGTCTTATTTTCAATTTTATAAACAATTAGGGTTGAGTGGTCTTATCAAATAGGCAAACAATTTTTTTTTTCCGTAAATGATAATTGTTCAGATCGAAAGTTAATTTTTTTTTTTATCAAGTTCAGAGTCCAGATTCAGTTTTTTTGTGATCCTGACCACTCAAGTAGTTGAATAAGGGAAAATCCGGTGAGAAAAGGAGCGGCGTTCTGTCGGCCGTCGTTTCGCGGAGATGATGAAGCCGCGTGGAATGATTGAGTCGCGGCCCCGCGAGATTTGCAGCCGACCTCGAGCCGGCGACTTCTCACCTCTGTAGGCGCCACTTGAAGAATTTATCATTTCAAAATGGTTACTTCCTTAGCGGCTCGGAATGTTGCCATTTGTGTTCCAAAGATATACCCAGTTCCATTGTTTTTGGAAAGCAGAAGTATGAGGTCATAATCATGTAAAAAAAAAGTTAGAGTATGGCGATATCCCTTCAGTTTTTGTTTTTTTGCAATTTTTTGAACGTGTCAATAAGTAATCGGTCGAAAATCTTCCAGCTTTCCAAAAATTTTAATTTTTCCTCTCTGGATCAAGTCTAACAGAGTTGAAAAGAACTTTTCAAAAAAATTTTTAATTTCTTAACTTTTGGCAAATGAGAGCTGCATTTTTTCATCTGTCCCCAGTTCACCGTCAATTATTGTTTTTGATTATTATTATTTTTTCAGATTTTAAAAATGAGCTTTTTCTGGAGCTTTTCCTTTTCACCTTGCCATTGCAGTTTCGCCTCTGTTATTATTGGATAACTTATTTGGAGGCTGAATCAAAGTTTTTCATGGAATTAAAAAAAGTTACTATGCTTCAATGCGAAATTTTTAAGAAGGCTTTTCCTTCTCACGTGTTCAAAAAAGAAAGCCAAGGATTTCTCCCAGAGTTTTGCTCTTCTATTCTCGCCTATCTCAGTATGCATCTCAACATGTTCGAATCTTGGGCCTCTGATTTTTCTAGATAGAAGATTTTTGGAATATTAGAAGAGTAGGGACTATTGGAATCAAAACCAAGGAAGTTCTGTTTCTTTGAAGTTCATTCTCAGTTCCCTTAAAAGTGCAGTTTTTTGGCTCGCTTCTCGTGAGTCCAAGTGTACAATGGGGCAACATTTATCACATTGTGGATTAAAGCAAGCGCAGAAGTTGTTCGGCTTTTCTGTCCCTTTTACTAGTTCTCGTAGGCTTCGGAAAGCTCTAAGTGGGATTTTCAACATTCTTATTTATTCGCCACAACTTGAAAAAGTCTGATTTCTCTGCGCTCTCTTTTCCTGCGTTGATCATTCCGCCGTTAAAGTAACTAAAGCTTGCCGGTAAGGGAAAAAGAGACGCAGACAGGTCAGACTGCTTTAACTTAGTTATGTTAAATAAAGTATATTTCTACTTTAAAAAAATGTTTAACAGTAACTTTTCTGCTTGTTCTTTGAAAAACTAGTAACAAAATAGATATTTGTCTGAAACTTTGAACTCAATCTTTTCTAGCGTCTTTCTCGACGCCTTTATCTTGCCGGGAGATCTGCCCACTTACAACCGATCCAAGATTTCAATTCCAACTCAATCTCGCTGCAAACCTGAAATTGGAAAATTAGTACTCGGTCTAGTTCTAACTGGGTTTCTTCTGCCCCGGCGGCCGTCTTCGACTCGACATTTTTCCGCTCGATTCAAGTTTTCCATGTATTTTACCAGGAATTTCCGCAAAATGTCACATCCAAACGTGCAGACGACGTGCTCAGTTTCAAATTTCCTGCTCATTTCATGGATCTCGAGTCTCGTTTTTTATAAGTTCTTTTTATGAGGACGGCAAATATCAATTTTCCTGTTTAAATTTATTTTTAAAATTTATTTTCAATTTTTGCTCTTCAGAAAAAGCTCGAGACATGCTTTTTTTATAATGGGTAACACGATTGCGTCTTATTTTTGAGCTTTTCGAGTCTTGGAATTATTCGGAAGGAAAAAACTTTTATTTCCTTTGAAAAGAGCTATTCCCGCCTTCCTTTTTTTGAATGCAAGTTTTCATTCACATAAGTACTTGCGGGAGAAAAAAACAAGCTTGTTCAAGATTTGGTCCATATTGGAAAACTTTGCTGCAACCCGCATCCAGATTATGTTTCGTGGTTTTGTGACCCTGTAATATTTTCAAATGGCTCAAAAGATTAGACGGAAAAAAGTAAGTTGGCCGGCGGTCGCTCGTTCTCAGCTTGTAAGCCGCAGGAAAGAGCCAAAATGTGAAACAGATGTTCTACTAGCTTCTTTTTTTAGTTCGAATGCATGAAACTTTTATTTTTATACGCTTACTTACGTTTCTCGATCTATTGATCAGACGCGTTGATTCCAAAAAAAATAAAGTCAATTTAGTTGTAATTTTTAAAAATTTTATTATTATTTTTGCACCAAGTTTTTTTGAAATTGTTGGTTTCCAATTGTCACTATCTGCCTAAATTTTTGTTTTTAAGGAGTAGTTTCAGATAAACAAGTTCGAAATTTGAACAGAAATATATCCAAATTCAAATTTTTCCCGAACAAAGGCTGTGTAAATCTTAATTACAGTGAATTCAAGATTTTTTGATAACATTCTTGATTGAAATTATCTCCTTTGTGAGTATATTCCGTCATCTTTGAATTTCCGGTTTTATGTCCGTTTTTTCGCGATAGTTTTTTGGTAGTCCAAGCTCAAAATTTGAAGAAAAAGATGGAGCCGCTGATGAGGACTTACCCCGGAATCGTCACCTTCTTCCCTGAGTAAGTTTTCATCGAATCATTGAAATACTGGTCGCGAGGCTGTTCATTGATTCAAGTGTACAATTATTTTTCTCACTTTGGTTTATTCGGAAAAAAATGCAAAGTTCAGAGAAAAAGGAAAAGTAACGGATCATACATATTTTGGGTTTCTGAAATCGCAATGAAAGCATAGAGATTTAAAATAATAATTTATATCACTCAAAAAGTCATTAACTTAACATAACTTCACAGGTCTGGGTTATTAATTCCAAAATTTTAAAGAGACATTATTCAAAGTTTGCTTCTTTCAATTTCAAGACGTAGCCAAATCTTTCACGGAAACTGAAGTTCTAGGTTTTCAGGAAATTGGTTGTTTTGAAAGTTTTCAATGTTAAACAGGGGATATTGTGTAATTTTCATCAAACTTTCCATTAATAAAACGAGAAAATATTTATTTTTCCGAAGGATGATTCAAGATGGGAAAAAAGTTGTTTTTGAAGGTCAATTGTTTAGTCAGCAATTGTATAGTGCTAATTGTTATTTTTCATCTCACGTGTAATAATATTTACCCTTTCTCTAATTGATGGCACTTTTTTGAACGGAAGTCATGATCATCTCCATGACCTTTTTTCCTCCGGAATACCAACTGAGTAATCCATCTCACCTCTGCAAAATAAACTTGTCACGTTCTGATGAGCAACATCCGGCAGTGGGAACATGAGTAACGGAGCAGCGAAAAAAAAAACATAATTAATTAATTAAAAGAGTTCTTTTTCTCCTTTTTCTGTTGTTCACTCCAATTTGTCAACCTTATTTTGAACTCTGAATTACTTCATTTTCCTCTCCTCTCCTATGCATTTTCGAACGTGTTTTTGTCCAATTTTCTGTTAGGCTAGTCGGTATTCGATTCTCGTTTGTCTGCTTTATTTTAGACTCAGAATAAGTTATATTCATGCGACTTCAAGCGGAAGTGACCGTGTGGAGAGATGGAGAGAATTAATCGTCAAAATGGCAAATTGCAAAACGTTCCCTCTCAGGAATTTTGAGTCTTCAGGAATGAAGCGAGAAATCTGCCGCTTTCCCGTCGTTTTAATGGATCCTTTCTCGTGTTAATGAGCTCTATGAAGGTCGTTAAAACCTCATTTTTTGATATTTAGCGTCGTTCAAAAGTTCAGAACTTTGTGCTCCTGCTTTTCATTCATTTTTCTGAGCTGCAACTGAGCTCGTCCAGCTCTTTTTTATTCTTTCCAGCATTTCCAAGTTCAAAACGAACTTTAGTACCGCACTTTCTTTGAGAGAAAATAAAAAGCGTAAAAAGCTGAAAAAAAATTCGACTTGAAATACTCGTTTTATAACTGAACATTTTTCGTGACGCTTAGGTCACTCTTCATTTATTTTTTTGGCTCTTCAGCCGTTTTTAAAATTATCGACTTTCAAGCATTACCAAGTGCAGTTGAAATGAAATTTTGAAAAAATAGTTTTTTGAGAGCAGGATTCGAATTTCTTGTAGGAGCCAAATAGCCATGAGAGAAGAATATGTGATACTATGATTACATGAGAAAAATATCCAGTAAAGTTGGACAAAAGCGCTGAAAAATTTAAGAAATTTTCTTATGAAAATTGTTTTTTTACTGAAGATAAAAAAATATAGGTATCCCAGCCTTTCCGAATATGCTCCCCTGAACGTCGGGAGAAATGTGATAGGTCATAGATGAAACGAAATAATTGCGTGTCTATGAATTATTCAACAGAACCACATAATTCCGAGGTTTACTTTGAGTTTATTCTCGGCTAGACGCGAGATCAATGAGCGCAATTTTTCGAATATATTTTTGATAAACTAAGCCTGTCTAACCTTATTGTTTCAATGAATATTCAAATAAATATTCAAGTGACTTTGAATCGTTTCAGCATCATGATCGTAGACTGGGGAGATGGAAAGAACGTGAGCGAATGTATCTGTTCGGACATCCAAAGAGAGGACTACTCGCCCGGTTTCGAATGGTTTGTTGGTTCGAGAAAAATGGACTTGCATCATTTCTTGAGCTTCAGGGCCAACTATATCACGATTATTCTGGCCCTGCCGGTCCTATCCGTCTTTGGAGTTCTGACAAACTTCATCAACGTTTTTCTGTACTCCAGAAAGAGGTATGAAAGAAGAATGAAAAGGGTTTTTGTGACCAAAGTTCCAAAACTTGATTTTTTACAAATTCAAAAGAGCTTGATAATGATGTTTCATTCAAGTAGAATATTTTTAAAAAAATATCTTTTATCTGGAAGGTTGGTTAAAGAAGAAAATTGACGACTCTCTTATACTTTCTTCCTTGCATTCATTCAATTTTACTCTTCTACTCTTTACTTTATTTTTAAAAAAATACGCGCCTAGGTTTAAAGCTAAAAGTTTCCATTATATTTTGCTATAAGCAAAAGGGAAAATGCTGACGATGGGTCACCCTCTAAGCCGTCCCTTTTTATAGACCCGAAACGGCTGCGCGATACTTAAATTAATTATTTTAATATAATTCCGTATTACTCTTTCCCAATCTCATTGTAATCACATAATTTCATCCTCTTAATGTTACATGAATAATTTCAAAATTCGCTCCTTCAAAATTAAGACAGTCTAGAATATGATCTAATGAGCATATCAGCCTTCTAGAGTTGAATAACATTTTAAAATTTTAAATCAGTACTTTTCTATCTATTTTTTCCTCCGGCTTACTGTTTCAAATATTTGATTTGTGGAGTTTCGAACTTTTTTTTCTGTTCGGTGTCTGCTTTTAACAAAAGTTTAAAATAATGGTATTAAAGTTTCATAAATTTGCTACTTTCCAAAAGATAAAATTTAGGGTTAAGTTTCACTGATCTAACCCTTTTTGTCGATTTCGAAGCAGATTATGAAGGACTTTAAAAAGTCACATGGAATTTAGACTACAAAACTCGGCCAACACCTACCTGCTGTTCTTGGCGTGCAGCGACTTCGCCGTCATCATCACGGGTCTTTTCATTTTTTGGATAGGTTTTCTCGCTTCCACATGAACTTCCAACTGGAAATCTCTGCAGACTCTGCCCGATCCTATATTCCAGCGCTGGCTCGGGCACCGTACACTACCGTATACGCCCTGCCCCTGGGCTACATGGCGCAGACTTGCAGCATCTACTTCACTGTGGCGGCGGCGGTTGATTGCTTTGTTAATGTAACAGAAGACTTCAAAAAAGGATTGAAAAGAAGATTTTGTGTAGGTTTGCTGGCAGAACCAGACGCGACGGTACTGTACGGTGACGAGGGCAAAGCAGATCTGCTACAGCATCGTTTTCATTTCGGTCATGTACAACTCGCTGAGATTCCCCCAGTTCAATCTGAGGCAGTGCTTCAATGAAGATACTCAGGTTTCCTTTTTCAGCAAAACTACTTGAACTTAGAGAAGATTTTTGTGTGTTCATTCATCTATAGTCCAAAATTTTTTTTTAGCTTTCTATCTTCTTTTTTTTTTGAACATTCTTGGACCCCGGTAACAAATACCGGACGCGCTCCGGACGTTCCTGAACAATTCTAGGGATCATTTAAAGGTTCAGAGTGCTGACGTTACTAAAGGGGCCACTAGAAACGTCCCGACACTTGGCTTTGGAAAAATGACGTCATAGAAAAAAAAGACATTTTTTAAACAGCTGTCCAGCATGTTTGCTCCGCGGATAAAGTTCAATTTAATTTTTTTTTTTTTCAACGTTAAAATAGTAAGTTTTAGTTCATGAAGTAAGAGATTGAAGGCATACCGATCGAAGTTTGTAAAGAGTCATTGATTAGAGAAAAATCAATACTTTTCCGAAATTCCAGGAGCAAGTGATCGAAATCTGCCCGACGTCGCTGTTCGTCACCATCAACACGGTCTACAACATGTCAGTTTTGGACTGAGAAGAAAAAGACGAACGGCGAGTCACTTGCAGGTACATGTACATGGTGCTGATGACGTTGCTGCCGTTCTTCTTCCTCCTCTGCATCAACGTCATCATCATGCGGCGGCAGAGCTTCCCCAAGAAGTCGACCGACTCGACGGCTTCTGGAGACGTCTGCAAGCAGCCGGAGACGTCCGGGACTTCCGACGACACCATCACCATGATCATGGTCGTCATCCTCTTTCCTCTGCTGCAACACCTTGGTCAGTCCTAGGAGACTTTCATCGGAATACCGGTCGTTCTAAGAAAATTTTTCAGAAAATGTTTGAAGTTGAAACTCTCTATTTTTTTGTTTGCTAGTTCCCCTCGGTGACGTTCTTGGGCATACTTGCTATATTTGTGTTCCTATCAACTTGTTGGTTAGGGAAAAAAAGGGCGCAAACGTGTCCGATTCATTAAATTTTTGGAGAATGAAGTATAACCGTTCTGTTTTGAATTATAACTTTTGTTCAGGAAATTCCAAAATCGATGAAAATCCCATTTTTTTTTGCCCAAAAACACCAAGGTTCTGAAATAATGGACGAGACTATCCAGAGCTTTTTAGAAAATTTCTGGTTTCAGAACTTAATTTTTTTCGTCTTTTTAATTTCAATTTTTTTGTAGATAATCATGGAAAAAGCGTTTTTTTGACAGGTTCGTATGCGGCTTAAACTTTCCGAACTTTTCAGTCTCATAATACTTTTCCTTGAGAAGAAAAAGTCGTACATTCGCTTGCTTTTCCTACTTTCTAGGTTTTTTTAATCTATAGAACGGTTTTCAGCTGGCGCACAAATATTTTTTTAATGGGTTTGAAAAATCTAATTGTTCGATTTTTCACGTATAATCTTAAGTTCAAATTTTTTTAAATCATTTAGTCAACGAAAAAAAATCTTTTAAAGGAACCTTTTCCTTCAATTTTTTATTATACGGTTTCGTAGTGTCATTTTAAAATTAAAATCAATTTTTCATCATTTCTGAAACTCTCGTAAAGTCGATCGAACGCGTATTTCCAGGCTCTGGCGGTCAATTTCATCGAAAACTTCTTCGAGCCTTCTCCAGTTTTGCTCAACTTTTTGACCGACACGAGTAATTTCCTGGTCGTCTTCAATTCTTCGGTCAACTGTGTCATTTATTACATTTTCAATGCCGACTATCGCGAGATGTTTCAGTAAGTGCGCTCCAGGGAGAAAAGTGTGATGATTGGCTTTTCAGTATCTACGCGAAACGTCTGTGGACGCTTATCAGAGACGAAAAATGTTGTTGCGTCTTCGGCTCGTCTGATCCCTTCAACGTGTACCAGCCGGTCGCGACGCGGCTTGTTGTCGATAACAAGGTCCATTTCGATGGACAAACCCTTAAATTTCGAGAAAAAAGTCGAAAGAGTTTCATCACAATAACTATATATTAACAAGTCTCAGATCGAAGGAAATGGGAAATTTGTTGTGATGGAGTTAAAAATTGAGTAAAAGTCTTCTGAAGGCCAAGCACTTGATTGAAGAGATCCAGAAAAGGCATCAACTTTCAAATTAATAAAAAGAAAGAAAGGAAAAATTTTTTTCGCTAAGATTTTTTTACTCACGCAAAGTGAAGTTTTTGGATACGAAATTTAATTTTTATCATTTTTCCATTTTTTTCTAAAGAGGTTTTTTTACATCGAATAATTCATTGAACCGCTGAAAAAGTTGAATTTATGAACTCCTTCCACCGCTAACTTACGACAAAAAAATATTTTAGGGTCGTATAAAACTCTTTTTTATCCCACTTTTTACGAATACACGAGTACTATAGTGATTAATTTTTTTCAAAGCAAAATCAACTATGTTTCCAGTTTAGAAAACGAATAGGAGTTTCAGAACTGCAACGGCGGCTGCAACGGGATCAAAATGGTGTTGGATCGTCACGAAATGACCCAAACTGAGAATTCAACCGAAATCGGTATAAAAATACTCAATTGAAGGCCTCTTCAAAGCCGATTAACAGAGCCTGAGAGAAACTCGTCTCCGATCTGGCAGCCTCTGACGTCACAGCATCTGCCGAACGTCCAGTGGCTATCGCCATTCGAGCCGACGTCACACATCGTCCTCGTCGACGACGACAACGATTCTGGCTGCGATGACGTCAGCCAGGTCGGTTCACAAACAAACTCTGAAATGAAGAGTTCTTGAAGATTTCGACGCGAGCCGGCACGAGATGGCTCGCCGAAGTGAACATCGTCGACGAGGGCGCTTCTGAAGGCTCCGTCCGACGTCCGCAAATCTTCGTCAAGCCAATCAGTTCTTTGCCAATTGTCCATTCCAGGGATTCTCGTAGCGAAATCATTCCTGTCACTTCCCTTTAATTTTTCATGATCTGAAATGATGAGATTCAGAATTATTCTGTAAATCGATTTTATTCTTTCGCTCGTGAGTGGATCCTTCAGTCATACTGAAAAAACTTCCAAAAACGGCTCTTTTTTCTTCGAAACTTTCCATGAGTTCTTATGAAGCGTCTTCTGAGAAATTTTTTTTTTTTCTTTGACTGACCAAAAAATAAAGTTCAACTTTTTTTCAACCAAAAAGTTTCTCAGAGAACGCGCGTTGAAACTTTTGAATGGGTATTATATCGCATAGCTGTACCAAAAGCCTGGAAACTTTGATTTTTAATGTTCAGAGCGAACGGGCAACCACATGTGCGCCCTGTTAACAAGCTGTTTTCCGATTTCTACTCGTTTTTGCCAAATTTTCCTCTAAAAAACAGGCTCTCAACAGAGCGCACATGCCCAATTTTTTTTCGCTTCCTCAATTTTTCGATTTCCATATCTCTCACTCAAATGTCTAATTGCTCTAACATTTTGAAAAAAAAAATGCAACTTTTTCCATGTTTTCCCATTGATTCCTTGACGGTTATGTCTTCTTCCCTAGATTTAGACAATGAAAATCCATTTCAGTGCAATTTGCTCAACGTTTCAGTTTTCTGACTGTTGCCTTGCTTTTTATACACGTTTTCCCGACGGATACTACTGTAACTGCGGTGTCCACGTAGTGAATAAATAAATTAATATTTTGAGGGCGTCCGTATGTTGTTTGATTTCGGAAAGACGGCCAGAGGCGGTGATAGACATCTGATAAAGTTGTTGACAATCAATTGGCCTTTACTGATTACGATCGCTCTTTAAATTTCCCCAACTTCCCAGGGGGAAAAGGCCGTGTTTACACTTCAGTTTGAGCCGTATTTTGACCTGACCTCTGTTTATAAATCTTTTTGCTTTTGTTCATAAATATTTTCGGTCGGGTAATTCGATGATATAAACAATAAAAGGCTATAAAATAAGGTGTGGAAGTGTTAGTCGCTCCTAATTCTTTCAGAGATTTAATTATTTATTAATTTTTAGGAAGATATGAGGACTTTAATATTGGTTGTGTGTATTCTGGGAGCAGCCCTGGCCATGCGGGATCAGTCGATTGCTGTCAAAGGTTTGTATCTTGATTCTTATTTACTCATTATCATCTGTCTAGAAGGGCTTTCTGAGAACTTGAGGTTGATTTTTGAATTTTAATTTTTTAGCAGAAAGGTTTTTTGAAGCCGGACCGAACACAGTTCTGGGACCAAAGTTTAAAAAAAAACCTGTTTTTAAGTTCTCATCCTATCAGCTGAATTTAATAGATCATGAGTTGAAGCCAGAATGTTTAGTTTCTCACACAAAGAAAAAGAATTGAATGTTTCAGTTTATAGGCAAAAACTTTTCATCAACTTTCCTCACAAAAAAATCGAATTGAACAAGAAGATCGGTTCGAAATCAAAGCGCTTTGATTACCTAAATGAAGATTCTGAAGACTTTTCTTCTTTGAGAGTTTCCAGTAGAATGACAGATCAGATCTTTTTTCCCCAATGAGACTCTGATTCAGGACAGCTACTCTGTGGAAACAAGCCTGCCAGCAACGTTCGGATCAAGTTGTGGGAAGAAGACTCCGGCCCAGATCCGGACGATCTTCTGGAGGCCGGCTACACCGACGGAGACGGCCGATTCCAGCTCCAAGGAGGTTTTTCTCACTTCCTTTTTGCATCAAGCTGTACTGAAAATCGCAGGAGAAGCCGAGCTGACCCCGATCGACCCCGTCTTCAAGGTTTATCACGACTGTGACGATGGAATCAAGGTTTTGTGATTTTTACAGCTTTTAGACTTATAGACAACAATTCAAAAAAGAAACAAATTTTTTCTAGAAATACCACTTTTGCAGCCTGGTTCCCGAAAAGTTAAATTCATTCTTCCTAAATCCTACATCACTGCCGGCAAGGTCCCCAAGAAAGTTTTCGACATTGGTCAGTTTATTTTGTCATATCATTGATCATAAAATATTTTAAGGCGTTCTTAACCTCGAAACCATCTTCCCGAAGGAGGAACGTGAACTTTTCATCTCTCGAAAACGTCGTGACGACGACTGGGATGATTAATTTCTTTTTGTACATATTTCAAGTTTTCTCAATGATAAATTACTTTTATTTTTATTTTTTCAAAAGACTAAAGCCACATTGAACCCGCAATGAAAAATTACCAAAAACTAGAACTTTTTCATCCACGTCCTTTGAAGAACATCAAAATAATCGGCGTTGTCGTTCAGGCCGACGATGTCCATTCCAAGGACGTTTTTGATCTGAAATACGTTTCTTTTTTTGCAAGAACAGCGTTTCCTACTTTCAAGACGTTGTTATGGCTGGGCCCAACAAAGGATCGTTTTCTCTTTGATCGGAAGGTGTAGGCTCGAAGGTCCCGCAAGAAGTTGGAATAGTGACGAAGAACGAAGATTGGGATGCAGATTTCGAATGCCATTGAAAACTGGAAAGCTCGTAATTTATGAGCTGGGAAATTTGGACTCACAAGCCGAAAAATACATAGGGCTGGAGTATAATAAGATCGCCGCTGGCATTGTTCGACAGAGAACATCGCGTCGACGTCGAAAAGGACGTAGGCCAAAACGTCGTTCACGGATATTGCACTGTCCAGAACGACTACAGGGACGAGCATTCTAAAAAGATCGTGAATCATTGAACGCAAAAAATTCTAGGCTATCTGCCAAATTTGAAGCCAGAATAACCGTAGAATGTGACTTCGATTCCAAGAGACGTATAATTGATTCATCTGTACTGTTTGTCGAATAGTAAACTTTAAATTGCACGAAACTCTTTTTTGAAAATTTCTTTTTTTTGCGTTAATAGCCTTAGCCTTGGAAGAGAACGCGATCCATTTCTCTAAAATCATAGAAAAGAAAATTTTTTTGAGTTTACCTAAAAATTTTAATTCCCGCGCAAAACGCATTTCGCGGAAAATCTGCTCTCTTGACAAAAAAATAATCATTTTTAAAAATTTTTGAATATTTTTTTTTTCAAATTTTTTTCTTCTTATGTAGAATGTTTTATTTCAATTAAGAAATTTACTACTTTTTTTCGTTAGATTCTCCGCTGTGAGAACTACCTATTTAAAAATTCATTACTAAATACTGCAATTTATATTAAATTTCAGGTTTTTTTCATTCCATTTCTTTTTTTCGCAATAAAAATTTCAAAGTTTCTTTTTTTGAGTTTTTAGTGCACGCATTCAGCTCAAATCGCTTTTTAAAATTTATCAAAAGTACAATTTCATTTTCATGCTTCATTTTGTCTTTGATCACACTTTCCTTTATTGAACTTTTCTTCAGTCCAAAGATGTTCAATACAGTTTATCTTTGTAGTTTTACCAACCTCAACGCTTTGATGTTCTCATTCAACTGGTACCTATGAGTAAGCGAGGCCTTCGCTCTTGCATTCAAAGATAATCGTCTGTTTGCTAATAATAGCCAGGTGAGCAACTGAAATCAACGCTAATATAAGGGCTGCGAACTTCTTTTTCAGACCACAACAATTAGAAGTGAAGCCAAGCAAAGCACGACTTGACTTCTTGATTTTTTGGCCGTATCCGCATTGCCGTCGAGTTGCAAATGGACGTGTATGAGGGAGATTATCACCTGAAAACTCAAGTTTGCACTATTTCGCCAGTTTAAAAATTCATAATTGATCCAAAAAATCACTGAAACCTTTTTAAAAGCTGAAATGTACATACCCCTAAAACTTGACAAACGATGAGAATACTCCAAGGCCTCGAAAATTCATAAGTTCGAACTCGGCACGTTGCGTAGAATCTTTCCAGAAGCACTAGTACAACTGAAAAAGAATATTTTAAAGTAGTCTAAACAGAAGCTTCTTAAAGAAAAATAAAAACTCAGGTAACTGTAAGAGCCTTTCAAAAGCAGCTTTTCTTATTATTTTTTTCAAGAACTTTTGTCCCACGTTTACTGATCTTTTGAGCTTGGTCAGAAGATAGTGGTAAATCTAGTAAACTCAAAAACTTTTTTTCTGCTCTTTGTGGCAATTTATGGACATACTTTCGGGGTTAACTGCTATCAAGTTTTCCTAAACGAGGATAAAGAATTGAATAGCCCATTATTAATCGGCTTTTCGCCATTCCAATGAAAAGCGGTACCTTGAGGCGAGGCAAACATGTAGAAAAATTCGTTGCCAATGTTGAGAAAGTTTGTGAAGGATTTGTACGGATAGAATAGTGAACTTTCCAATAAAAAGCGGAAAATATCGCAGAAAACGTAAGTCGCAAGAAGAAGGAAAAATATCGTTCTGTTGATGTGAATTTTATTTTTGATTTTGAAAAATATGGATTAGAAATGAACTTAATTGCAGTCCATTAAATATGGTCTTTTTCTGGCAGATTTGAAAACCGTGACCGCAAGTAAAATGGCTCTAAACCTCGCGGTACGCGTTTTGATTGAAACCAGGTCTAAAACCGACTCAATAAAATTTTTATCTATTCCTTGGAAAAAAAAAAATGTTTACGGACAGCTACGCAACCGTCACGCGTCGAGCCATTCCACATGCGACCAATGTTTTAGGTTTCTGCGAGAGCTCATTTCTCAATTTCCTTCATAAAAACTCACCTGAACATAATATGGTAGGACTTTCCATAGTGAATCAGACAAATTGAAATAAAAGTGAAAAGAAAAGCGGAAACTAAATTGAAAATCAAGCCGACGTAGTGAAATGACATCATCCAGACTTCGCAAGGACTTGTGCCGTTGCCCATTTTCTTCAATATTCTTCTCAGATTAAATATTCAGGTCAATTTAGAAAACAAAACAGAAAGAAAAACTCAGAAGCGAGCTGACTTGGCTCGAATCCACATGAAATTACGGCAAAACACGAAAAGGTTACGAAAAATAGGAAAAAAAAATGTCTGGCACATGTAGATTGAGCGTGGAATGGCCACGCGAAAGGCCAAAATTCCATTTTCTCAACTTCGTTTTGTATTTTGCACATTTTTTTTCCGGCTGCCGAGTAATATTCATAAAAGTTGATAAAGGTTTCGCGCATTGATTCAATTTCAGATCGTCATTCTCAAAAAAGTAGAGAAAGAAACGGAATAAAAAGGGAAGGTGAAACTATTTCACAGCATAATGAACATATGAGAAACTGAGAACATGATATGTGGAAACATTTCTGATAATTTTACCAGTAACGAATGAGGAAAAGAAATAAGAGTAGTTCAAGAATCGGAAGTGCGCCGCAACAAACTCTGGCGGAAACCCAATTTATCAAGCTCATTTGTAGCGTTTTCACATCAAAATCCAATGATTTTTTTCTTTTTTTTTGGTATTCAGAGATATTTTCAAACATGAGAAAAGAGCCAAAGAAAAAGAATACAACTGCCTGCGTAACCATGAGAATCTTCGCTTCAACCTGATATTTGTGCCGAACCTACCTATTTCAGACTTTGTTTTCGCCCACCTTCAGTAAAATAAGAAACCTATTTCCAGGAGGGAAAGGAAGTAGACGAGTGCTGGGAAAGGCTCCAAGTAGAGGGAACTCGGAAAAAAATGTGACACAAATTTGGGAAAATGGTAAATAATTCTCACCCGTTCCACGAGCTGTGAGGATTTTTGTTCAATAGAAATAATTTTACTTTGAGCCTTTTTTGGAATATGTGAACATAATATAATAAAATAGTCATCTTCTATTACAAATTCCTTTTCTGAGGTTTCGAAGGCGCATTACATTTTTTTCATTGCTCAAGGAATCACTAATTTTCAACCCATATCTTTTGAAAATAAATGGCGCCAAGCAAAGTTCGGCGCCGCGAGAGGTTGAAAAAGCGATTTTTAGCTGAACAAAAAGTTAGTCTTTATCCTTCTTTTTTTTTTGATTCTTCAAAGTTCAACTTTTCTTCAACTTCATTGGTCATAGTGGAAGTCCGAAGGACCCTCTGAGGATCCGTAAAGGCTGCTGGAAGGCTCCATAGAAGTATTACTTTTAGGATGACGAAGGCCCCTTTTTGCTGTCTTTATGTTTCCTTTTTCTTTTTCTTTTTCATAGCCTTTTCCCATCTTTTTATAGTCTTTTTCACGCAGTTCTAGGAACTTTTCAACAATGTAGCCATGCTGATATCAATTCATTAGAGCAATAACTTTTTTGGACATTGGACCTATTTGTGCTAAATTATTTTTTCGAAACTTCTTTAGCCTAAAATAAATTGCAGCGAATCCACTTCTGATGATGTGGAGCATAAAATATTCAATTTCTCTTCATTCTTGAAATTTTCAAATGATCAAAGAATCAATCACCTGCCCGATTTTTTTCTGATTTCTACTTGTAATAATTTAAAGTCTGTATGTTTTTTTCTGAATGTTCATTCACTTTTTGGATACACTCTTGTCTTCGTCCCATTCTTCGGAGAACCTTTTGTTGGTCTTTCATTTTTGCGGATATCCCAATTATGCGACTGAAATTTGATACAGGAGGATTGGGCAAGCGTTAAAGACCAAAAGGGAATTATTAATAGGAAAGCTATGATTTCATTGATTCTCACGGATATTCTTTTCTAATCAAAATAGAATCATAGTAATTATCGGTTTTGTGAGTCTTGTTGTAGAAATTCTTATTAGGAAGAACCAGACCAATGAAAAATAATTTATCAGTCTTTGCTTTGTATGAAGACCAGCTTTTTTTTTGCAATTTCTTAAAGTTGAAGATGCATGGAGATAGTTATAGTTCATTTTAGTTAACCCGTACCGAAGAAATACATAAATCAATTGGCAAAGTTATTTAGAAGGTGTGTTTCAGTATTTGCGGTACCACTGTAGTCGGAGTTGAGCAAAGTGATCTTCAGGGCTTTCGTGTCCAGCCACGTCCATTCCCAAGACGTTGCGGACCTGCAAAAAGCGAGACTTGTTGAAGATTCAGATCAAACTCTTGGCGAATGTAGAAGTCACGCACCTTGAACTTTTTCTTGAGTTGCGCAGAGTCTTGAGATTTGTTGGATCTTCGCCAGCACTCAGGTCGCCACGCCTTCACCGATCCTTGTTGATAGATAACGGCTATCGGCATGAGGATTTGCAGAATCATTGCTATCTGAATCATTCAGAGATTAGGAAAGATTTCTAGCTGAGATTTACCGTTCTAAAAAAGGTGAAGAGTGGAAAGTAGTAGCGATAGGAGTTGCAGGAGGTTAGTGAGAAGGTGCGACCGACGTTGAATAGGTATTTGGTGAGGACGAACATCAGCCAGATGCTGTTGTCCATCACAATGAACGGTACGAATATCCTGAAGTATTCTTTGAGTAATGGAAAATCCTTTCGAAAAATGAGGTATCTCTGGATTTACGATAACTTTTTTAGAAAGGTCAGAGAGATCCTCATAGGGGTGAGGGAAAAAAGCCCCTAGCGGGCGCAGAAAGGCCTCTTTTGCAAGCGGCCCCTATAGGAAGAGGTAATGTGGTTCCTAGATCATAACCTTCAAGGGCCCCTAAGGTTGCCTCTCTAGGACCATTATGGAGTTTTTTTAAGTTAAGCTGGAAAAAAAGACGGATCTAGAAAAAAACTTTAGAGAAAAAGAAAAATAATTTTTCTTAATGCTTAATGTTAAAATTTAAGTTACAATAATGTCAGCATTTCTCATACTAAGATTTCATGATAAGATACCTGAGAGCTCTAACATTCTCAGCCAGTTGATATCGCGTTGTGAGAGTTGATCTTGCTCGGGAAGCCAGTGTCAGCCTTCTATTGACTACGAGCAACAGGACAAGGCACTGGAAAAATAATATTTCAGAGAACTCAGTTTTTCAACACACCGTAGAGATGATAATGGAAAGAATGAACTGGGCGTTGTTGGTCATTTTCTCTTGAGTTTGGTTGAGATGATAGAGGAAGATGACGACCGCTACCTGCAAATAAAGAATGTTTCGGTCTCTACTCCAAATGAGCTTTAAGAATTTGCATTTTCTCTTTTTAATAGTATCTCAATCTTGAGCTTGTCAAGCTTTTTAAACCACGATACGATACTTAGTCATTTACTTAAAAACTGCAAAAAAAAAGTGTGACAACCCTAGTCAAAGGCGTATTATGGAAGCGAACTTTGGAAGCTCAAAACGTTTTCTTCAAATATGTCTGAAATTCACGTAAAGCTCTTGATTGTGTGAAATCTACATTTCATCCATCAACTTTAAAGAAATTGGTTAAGAATATATTCTGAAATTCAAATTTATCAGTCTATAAGTAAGTGGAATCAACGGAGATGAGTCTATAACATAATTTTATGTTTGATTTCCTTTTTTTTTTTCAGAAAGCGAGATAAATTGACCGTAAAAAATCTGCACTTTTCCGCTTTTCTGTTTGCAGAACTTCAAAAGATTTTTCTCTCGAAAAGTTGTTCCAAAAGGCTCTCACTCATGTAAATCTGTTCCCAGCGACGTCATTCTTTTTTTTTCTCGGTTTCAACTCAAGTTACAGCTGAAAAAGCTTACGCAAGCACTTTGGCCGAGTGAATAGACGACCCAAGGCCGCGAGTTCTCGTAGCTCTGCACCCAAATTGTCGCACAAAGCCGTTCCAAAAGAGAAAGAACGACTGAAAATTGGATAATCTCGTCCAAAAACTTGTTCTTTTGTGTTCTTTTCTTTTCCAACAAAAAACACATAAATTTGTTTGGCTTTAGGAAAGTTACTTTCAATGGTTTCAAAAAAGCGTAATTTTTTAAACTTTTTAATGACACGAACCAAATAAAAGTAATCACCTATAGGTTGGATGTAGTAATTGGCCAAGGTAAAAATGAACTCTAAGACGGTGTAAACGATATTTCGGTCCATAACAAACTCGATGAGGTTCCGGCACGACATCACCACGTTGCATATCGTGTACGCCGTAATTATCAAGAAGAATGAGACTCTGAAGTAAATAGATTATAGTCAACTTCCAGAACATAGAATATAGTTATTTTACAAACTCTAATTAGATATCTGAGCTTGGTATTCTTTATTTATAGGAAAACTATTTTATAGTTAGTTCAAAGTCGCTCTAGCCGTGAGAAACTAATACTTTTTCTCATCCGACGGACTGAGCCAAAAACATAAAATTTGTTATTTCTCTGTGAAAAACTGTAAATTACAAGGAAGGTCATTTTATCAGATTTCTCGAAAATTGGCTAGAACACTCCTAGATGTACCAGATTCTAAAAGGTTCAATGTGCATAGCTTCCTAGTTTTCGAAAAAAAAACACCTCAAAGTCGAAGAAAACCCTAAAACATTTTCTGAAATAAGCTATTTTGGAGAATTTAGTCTTCTTTTCTGGACAACTAGGAAGTTTTATAGGTTGAGAGTTCCAGGATTTAATTTTTTTAACATCAAAAAGTGTTCTGAGTAATTTTTAAGAAGCTTCCAACCACAAAGGGAAATTACCCCCTTGTAAGAGAAACGCTAGTTAAAGTTTAAAAGTTCAATTTCCACAAAATGGATTGAGATTTTGCAGTTGATCAAAGTGTAGACTATTTTTTTCTCATATCTGAAGAGCAACCTTTTTGAAACCGCTCAGAAGTGAAGGTGAAATCTCCACATTCTTCAAGACCTTTCAAGTTGGTTCGCCTCAATTTTCTCGCGAATATCCAACCATTTGTGTTCGGACATAAATACGCAACGATTTTTGGTGAGTATCTTGGTGCAACACATTTTTTTCCCCTTGTTTCTGCAACCACCCAGCTGAACCTTCTTCTGCCTCAAGAAACAGATGTGCGGAGGCCACTCGAGGGAAGAAAAAGCGTTTAGTGGATAAGCACTGACGAGAAAAGCGGATGGAAGGCGTTCACGTGGCGGACGAAGACGACGGCCAGGAAGACGTAGAGGACTGACGTCGGAAGGCCCACGAGCACCGTGTACAGCGTCAGAGCCCGGAGGCCTATCTCGGGACACGATTCGTTCCCCGTCACTTCCATAAAACTGCAAACTTTTGATGTATTCTATCAGTTATATAGAGCTATCAGGGTTCGGAAGCTTCTCTCGAAAATTGGCATAAAATGTTGAAGCGGCAGAAAGTAGTATAGATTTAACTAAGACGACTTCCTATTCAAAGTCAATTTTTCCTGAATTTAAAGATAAGATGGGTAGATTGGCAAGGGTGAAGCGTTCCGGGCGCGACGCGGCTTCCGACGAGAGATTCGAGGTTAAATATAATCATGGAAAAAAACCCAATATATTGAAAAATTGACGGAAAAGGAGAAAAATAGCGACTCTTGTTTGACCACGAGCTCCCGCCAAAAGCCGCCTCGCACACGCAACGCTTCGCTCTTGCCAATCTACCCATCTCGCATTTCAATTCGGGAAAGATTGACTATAACAATCTCAAAGTGTCTACAGAAAGGAAGAGAGAACTTTGAGAGGTACAGTGTTTGAGCCAATTTCAAGAATTCTCAACGGCGAAGTAGAAAGAAAAAATGAATTCGATTAATGGATGACAGAGACGTGTAGGAAAACTGTGTAATTTTGGAGTTTAGAAGGCATTGAAAAGTAAAAAACGATTGGAGAAGACCAAATAACTTATTAAGATTGAAAAGTCGAGAAAAATTATTTTTGCAAACAGAAATCAAAAATATAAAACTTCTGCAGAAGTTCTCACGGTTTTCCAGTCTTCGACTAGACTTGGTCGAATTGGTTTTCCTCAATTTACTTTTTTCAATTTTCAAAAATCTTTATTCATGTAATTTTTTCATCCTAAGAGCTTTAGCAACTGTTTTTTGACTACAAAAAAGTTCTCACCATGAATTACTCATCACAAAAAAATGATTAGTGTAAAGATGATTTCATGAGAATTTCAAAAGAAAAATATATCACTATCAGTAAAGGTGAATAGCTATAAAAAATCTGAAAGAGAATTCCAAAAGCCCTCTGAACAATTTTCCTCCAAAAAGCCAGAAAAAAGGCTTCTATGGGCAAATCAAGAGCCGGATATGAAATCTGTGTCTGAGATTTTGGAGTTAAAGAGTGTTTTAGTCAAAAAAGAAAAACTAGAAGAGATCGATCGTTGAAAATTATCAGCTTCGAAAGCAAATGTAGTCAACAGGAAATTTAAATGATACCCTTGAAAAGCCTAGAAGACGTTCATGTAGCCACAAGGTTTTCGTAATCAGGAAAAAGAACCAGTCAAAAATAACTTTGCAGGGGCGAGATGCTGCATTAATGAGCAACAGGTGCTTCCTACCAAGGTTTTCTTCTCGGAAAAATTGAGAAAATATGAATAAGCTCATAGGCTGATAGTGAAGTTGATTTCGAATCTGTTTTCGGGAAGCGGAATACTACAAAATAGGCCAAAAGCCCATTAATCAGAATGTCTCGATACATTATTCAAAACAATGCCCCTCTACGTTTGTAGCAGCGAAAAGATGTAGGCGGAAAACACCAAAAACTAGGGTTGAATAAGTAACGACGCAAGTTGTCAGTCGAACAATAACGAACTATTTTCTGGAGACTGTTACGTCATCCAACAGAGCTCATTCGAATCATCATTTTGCGTAAAAGTCTGGCATTTATCAAATCTCCAAAGGAACAGGTGTAATTATTGGTTCGAACAAGTGTTAATTTGAACCTGAAACTTCTCAAGCTGTCGGCTTCGAAGTCGGTAATTTGTCGAAGAGCTGGGAGAACCCAAGTAAGAGAAGGAAGGAAGGAAGAGGAGGAGAAACGTAGTTCTTTGGGGCGAAAGAATCTAAAAGAGTTTCCGGAGCGATGAACGGGGAGGTCTAATCCGGTGGCCAATGGCTCCTCCTTTTGCCTCCAACGAGTGGAGTCGTTCAGAGAACACCCTCCGAGACCTTATAAAGTGCTTCTGGTCATGTTAGAAAATTGGAAAAATGATCCAGTACATGGAAAAACTATAGCTTCATTTCGCGGGGGCACGGAAATCTCGAAATTTTTATGATGAAAAAACTTTTTTTAAACTGAAAAAATAATACCTTTTTTAAGTTTTTGAGCTTTCGAAAAAAAGATAGAGGGTATAGGGAGATTTTTCGAGAAAACTCTTTTTTTCGCTCGAAATTGGTAAATTTCGAGTTTCGAAAAGTTCGGTTGAATTTAGTACGTCCACCAAAGAAAAAAAATTTTTTTGAAAAAAACTTTTTTTGCTCAACAATATTGAGAAGTTGAAATAATTGTCAACTTAGATGAATAAACTCAAATAACAGTTTAAAAAAAGGTTAAAAAAAAGAAAAATAATCAAGTTCAAAAACATCCCAGGCAGTAAAAAGTTTCACGTAAAGAATTCAGTTTCACATAAAGAATTCAGAAATTTAGAATGCAACAGGAAAAAAAAATGGTCGGAAAACCTGAAAAAAATTTGAAAATTCATGACGAATTTTGTTTCTTATACTGTCCATTGCATGTCACAGAGCTATATTATTCAAAAATGAGGGGGCTCTTTTTTTCTCCTAAAGTATCTTTTTCGATCCGTAAAACAGCCAGTCAACATGCGAACAAGCGCTTTACAACGGGTAAAAAAGTATGTCTGAATAGGTGTCATTAATTTTTATAGTAATATTCTATTCAAAAACCCTAGTTAAAAAATTTTTTTCTTGAATATCGATTCAACCACGCATTATTAAGCTGGAAATTTCGAAAAAAGTGAAGCATAATTTTTCTCTCGAGAGGGGAAGTTATTTAAAATATTGATTTAGCCTTTTCGCTTCTTTGTTAATTCGAAATTCAAGACCACAATAAGTTCACTATGATGCTCGTAGCACTCTCATTATATTTTTAATTCAAAACTAAAAAAAAGTAGTTTTGATAGAAAATAGAAAGCCAGATCTCAGATTTCAAAAATGTAGTGGACGATTTTTTTCAGATCGAGAATAGGAGCTTTAGTTCAGCTACCTGGATTCAAAAAAAAACTATAATTGTTCATTTTTTGGTATTTTTAAACTCAAGAAACTCGACTACTTATTGATCTTAAATTGAAAGAAAAGAAATTATATACTAAAGTAGGTTCAGTGTGATCATCAAAAAAAGACTTACAAATCGTCTGGCGCTACCATATAATTTGTGCCGATTTCTGAGAAAACCGAGAAAATAAAGTTTCGGAAACCGAAGTCACTTAAGGAAATTACTGAGATGTTTGTGTGTTATTGTGAGAAAGATGAACGGTAGGAAAAATTTTTTTAGGGAAAAGCCAAGGGACCCATGTGAATATTTCATTGAGTGTGTGCCGCCCATGATATCCCATTGCCAGTTTACTTTTCTCACGTGCCTTTTTGTCCCAGTATAGAGTCGAATTCTTCTTTTTTCAACTAGCAAAACTTTCAGAAAAATACGAACCGCCGGTCTGAAGCCATGTGCCTAAAGCTTCTTTGTTTTTGGTTAAATTCGGACCAAATAGAACTTTGAAATTCAAATCCGATCTTGCTAGAAAAAAATTAAAAAAATTGATTTAAAAAAATCAGATCAATGTTAAAAAAAGCCAATTAATAAAAAAATTTACTTTTTACTTATTTTTTTCGTACGGTCCTTTACAAGTACACGTTAAAGATATTCTGCTTAACCCGATAAGGTACCGTGAAAAGTGTTGAAAATGGAGCGATTAGGCTTGAAAAGTTTTCAGAAACCTACTTTTTAACACCCTTTTACCCTTTTACCTTTTTACCTACCAGGCAAATATAACTTTCATGGTTCTCTTCCTCCACGCCACAGATCTGTCTGTGAGCGAAATAAACGTTTCATTTCTATCTTTCAATACAAGCCTTTAAGGATTCGGCAAAAAGAAACACCGAAAAAATGTTCATCCAGCAAGAAATGGGTGAAATTCGGTATTCTGAAAGATTTTAAAGCCCATTCAACAGGATTTTTCTCTGTTCCTTATCGGATTTAGCAGATAGTTTATTTTTTTGACCTTGGTTTATAAACCACTGAAATTTGAACTCGGTCAACGGGTACTAGTTCGTTTAGTTCCCTAGTCAGCTAAAACATAAAAATTCAGAGAACAGCTTTTTTTATTTCTCTAAACAGCTAAAGCTGCAGAATTTGTTATTCTATACCGAACTCAAGGCTGCGAACTTATATTGGTAATCTTTAATTCAAACTTCAAGTCAATTTCTTTAAAAGGTTCTTTTATTTCACATTAATATGGCCATTGATTTATGTAATAAAAAAAGCTGCCATTCGCGGAAGTTATTTTTATTTTGAGTTGCAAAGTCGAAATGAAAGTTCCTAGACTTCAAATATAAGTGTTTTTCCCTTTTTTTCGGATAAGAAAAATAACTCTAGACAAGGATGAAGGTCTCTCTAAACTTTGAAAATTCAAAAAAAAATCATTCCCATTTTTTTACAGGTGTTTCAGCGAAGTCATTTATTTATCATTCCGGAAGGAAATAGGAGAACCGGAAATCTTGACGTTCATGATTTCAAGTTATTCCAAAAACTTTTCCTGCAGAAAAGTTGGAATACATTAAAATCAAAGCAGAAATCTGAACTCTGTAGGATATTTTAGCAGACAAGGGCAAAAAATCATGAGACGGTTGTGGGAAAATGTGGGAGTGTTTCATGTTTGGGAAAAAATAAAGATACAAAAATGATTATCATAAAAACTTCCCATGACAAGTGCAGCAAAAATACATTCTCTGAATTGAACTTTCTCTTTGGAATAAAATAGACAGGAAAAGTAAACTGACACAAAAGGGAAGCGGAAATAGATGCTGAAGCTGACAATTTGTGACATCTCGAAAAAGCCACGAGAAACTCATTCCGAGCCAAAATGAGCCATTCAGCGAACACTTCAGCTGAAAATTACATCCACAATGCAAACCTAAAAACCAAGCAAAGAGAAAATTGGTCTGGTTTTTTTTTTCTGTGGCGGAATAGCTGAAGAAAAACTATAATGGCTGAATGTAGAATAAGGCCGCAATTACCAAGGCAAGTCCGCTCTGAAGGTAATAAACCTTTGGAGTATGTTTTTTATTCATGAAAAAATCAGGAGGTCATTATGGTGGGTATAAAGAAAAATTTTGGAAACTTTCAAAGGAAAAAAGAGTGCAAACACAGAGCAATGTGTGCTGCATGGGTAATCCATTTATGGATTATTTTCTCTCAAAGAAAAAAAAAATTATTTCTCAAAGTGAAAAAGTTCAGAAAACTAGAATTTTAAAAGAAATACTACTCGGAAACTTCGTCCTAGGAGAATAGGTTCAATGGGTGGCGATCATTAAATTTCAGTCTGCAACAGAATTTAAATTTGCTCCATATTTTGTTCCGATGCCTCCGTGCGGAAGTCAATCAAAGTCTGATGCAACGTACCATACCGTATGGTCCATACGATTTTAAACTTTTTTTTAAAAAGTTCTTTGCTCAAAGCGCCCTCTTCTCTAAAGGCCTTTCCTATTGCACATCAAATTTCATTCCATTTCATTCCAGCCTTGTTTTGATTCGAAATTCTTGGAAAAAGTTTCCAATTTCCCAGAAGTTATAATGAATTCACGAAAACAATTACCATATTATCTGTTTGAGATCCAATAAAAAACTTTATGCTGTAATTGACGTGACGAAAAAAGTTGCTTGATAAGGTCAGGACACAATTAATCAGCGTGTTTTGTAACGCATGGGAAAGAATCTCTTGAGGAAGTCTGGTTTTTGTTTCAACAAGAGAAAACTGATTTTCGATCTTTATAAAGTTGAATGAAATTTGTCAGCATATAATAGAAGCTACGTTGAGTTCATGGAGTGTGTTCTGATGGGATGGGGATGACCAAAACGAGTTGAAAAAGATTCAGAGAACGATTAATGACAAACTTGGCAGAGTTATTTCAGTTTCTTGGCCCCGTAGAGTGCCATACTCGTTGCAGTTCTACAAAGTAGACGTCCATTTTCTGCTCGGGAATGTTGACAGTACAGAACTTCTGAATTTCAAAAGTTAATTAGTTGAAATATCCAACGCATCCGACTCTGTAACGGCTTGCGCCACAAGGAGAAGTATACAAAAAGGGCACAAACAAGTAATTATTTTCAAGTAATGATGAGCTATATATCCATAACTTCAAAAAATTCCCAATAATGCAAAACAAAAAAAAATCACCGTTTCTTTGACTTTCCGCCCGATCAGTCCATTCACAGCCTTCCACATGAGCTCGTTCTGCTTGGCCGCCAAAATTGGGATGATCGCCAAAATTAGAAAGTTGACCTGAGTTTTCTATTCGTAATTTGAATGATGAGATTTCAGAAATACCGTTCGAATGAAAAGGTAGAGAGGTAAATAGTAGACGCGCTGAGTACAAAGTTCCACGTCGAAAAAGTGAGCGGCGTCGAAAAAATAGTTGGAGACTGAGAATAGAAGCCAGAGCAAGGTGTTGAGCGCCATATATGGAAGCATCAGTCTGAAAGTTCATTTTCAATTTTCGATTCAATCAGTTGCAGTTTTATATCGGAAATTTCTGAGTCAATAAAAAAAAGCAGACGCTTCGGCTAAAAATAACACCGAGAAAGGCAAATCTTTTACCGGAATCCTTTTTGGAAATGTTTAATACACATTCAAACAAAGCAATAATCAAATCGTTGGTCTTGATTCCCCAAAACCTGCTGTATGCAAATATTGATGCTTTGGGAGATTTTTCCTTGCAAAAATGATTGTAATGAATTATGTGCGTTAGTGAACTTTCTTTTGCTGGCTCCTTTCTTTTGTTCTTCAGAATCGCACTGAGTTGGTGGTCCGTGATGAATTTGCACCGAAAACAAAACGAAAATATAGAAGAATCGAGAAAAAAGGCCTCGTGCCCAAGGGAGTTTCAAAGTCGAAGGGAAGGTTTTTTTGGATGATGAGGGTGAAATTTTTCCTCTTTTTCAATCCGTGCTAACTTAAAAGCATCTACTACTTTCATTAAATTCTGCTCCAGTCACATCATCCGCTATATTGTGAGCTCGTCGAGGCTCAACTGGATGGACTAGGCCCAGAAAAGAAGGAGGGCCGTAAGACCATTCTTTCATAAATTGTTGCCTGGAACCTTTCGGACTGGACAAAACCTTCCATAACGAACCTCAAAGTAGCGGCGTTTTCCAGGAACTGGTACTTGGTGCTGAGAGACGCGGTCGTGCGAGACTTCCTTTTGCAGTAATGGTTCGCAAAGTACATTATTACGATGCCCTGAAATGCCAATAGCATTTCATACATATAAGATTCCTATCAACTAACAATCGTAATGAAGAGAGAAAATCCGATGCGGAAATATCCGCTGTCGTCGATACAGAGAGGGTCCATGTCACACAGGAAAACCTGTACAAAGACTAGAACGGCCTGAAAAATTTGCTATTTGAAAACAAGGAAATACGGTTGTTTCACTGACCGCAATCAACTGAGCCACAAGGTAGATCGGCCAGTAACACTTATTTTCGTAATTCTCCGCGTAAATTAGGGCAAACAGTCGTTCCACCAATATTATCAGTTCTGGAAAATCAGAATCGCTTATCTTCAAATTCAAAAAGAAAAATCTCTCGAGCCCATAGAAAAATGTTCAAACTTCAATTTCAAGGCAAGTTTTAAATGTTGCTATGTCATTTTTCCGGAAGTTTCGTTTTCTATTTTTTTGACAATTTTCAATCAGGATTCATGATTTTTAAACCTTAAAAGGATTCTATCCATTACAGTACAACTTTCGGACGAATTTTTCACGCAATTGTTAATTCATTTTTCCCCTTCTTCATTGCTTTGTTCATTCTCAATCGACTGTCCTTGAATTTTCATGAAAGTCTAAAAACCTATAGCTTGCATGTAGGCATAGGCCTCAGCAACGATGACGTCGCCCAAAAAGTCCCAAAGACTTGTCTCATCGATCGCATGAGAAAAATTCCTTGCAAAGATTCCAAAGTTGTAGGTTGCGTTAGTCAGAATCAGTATGAGCAGCGAAGTTCTGAAAATTAATCAAGTTCCAAAACAACTCCATTAACCTTTCTGAAATGTCAGCTTGTGTGGTTGATTATTCCGGTTCTGACTCACCTCTAATCCAAACAAGATCTTATTATTTTTTTAGTTTAGAAAAACTTTTTTGGAAGCATCCCTATCTAGAAAGAGCTTCAAGATTTCAATTTTTTTAAACTGGAACATTCAAATTTTTTCAATAATCATTGAAAAAAATTATATATAAATTTTTAGCAAAGCATATTTTTTTGAGTGTGAATTTAGATAGTTATTGTAAAATGTGGCTGGAAGTTCTGTGATAAAGCCTATAAACTTAGATTTTTAGACTATTCGTACTTTTACTTAGTCCGCTACAACTTACAATAGCATACTGTATCTGATCCCTATTTTTTTCCATCATTTGAAAGAACGGCGAGAAGTTCTTGAACAAGATAATTTCAGCATGGGTTGGAAAAACCATAACGTTTCAAGTATTAGGAAATGATGTACAACTTGAAACTTCAAAGCTGTTTCGGCTCATTTTTTATTACCCTGAAAGCGAATGAAAACTCACGAGAACATGGTGTGGAAGGACTTGCGGAAGCGGAAAAACAGAAGAGCGAAAATGAGATATTCTACAGTCAGGAACGACATGACGACGGCCGAATAAATGTAGACGCCTTGACGCCAAGCCCAGGGGCACATCGTCGAGTTGTCAGGAGCGCGCATCGAATGAAGCGCCTAGACTTGCCGGACGACCGCTAATTAATCAACTGATGAGAACTAATCAACCCTCTTCGAGGTGACTCACGCCGGAAGTCTAACCTTCTCGAGCTCCACCCAACCTACTAGGAATGAAGAAGGATGATACAGTAGTTTAATCAAAGATGAAGCTTATTTTCATTTCTCGCTCTATTTTTGACGCAGAGTTATGACTAGCATTCCCTTGATGATGGGTGAGGTGACATTATTATTCCTAAATGTGACGCAAATTGTGATTTTTTGGTATTCCTTCCTTTTATTCGGACCTTGGTAACGCGAACCGAACGCGCTCCGGACGTTTCCGAGCAGTTCTAGGGACCACTTAAGATTCCTGACGCTACTAACGTGTTCTCATCACTACTTTTTTTTAAAAAATAACTCTTGGTTTTGAAAAAAAAAACAATTCATCGACCCGTTTAAACATCAACAATAGAGATCGGCGGAAAAGAAACTGACAAGATTTGACACAAATATGGAGTGAAATAAAAAGTGAGTATCTAAGAATTGCTCGTGGCTAAAACTTTTTCAGCCATTGCTGTTGAAGCTGAGCAAAGTGGTCTTCATTCAGTCCAACCACGTCCATTCCCAGAACGTTTCTGATCTGAAAAAAAGTGTTGTTTTTTGTTGGCCAGTCATAGTTGTTGGTTATTTTTTGAAGGGTTTCTCAATTTTTTGTTCGATACCTTGTCAAATTTCCCCAAAAAAAAAATTTTTTTCTCACTTGAGACTCAAAACTCTTTAAAAAAAGATAAAGTTTTCTAAAAACGGAAAATTGAACAGATCAAGTCCGCTCTATCGCAAAAAAACTTTAAAAACTGATTCTATTCAGTTTACGAATTCAGTTTTTCTATTTTTGTCATAACCCAGCTCAAGTTTTTTCATCAAACACATCAATCGCTTCCATTCTTCAAGAGAGACAAACTTTGTTTTTTCTCGATTATCAGAAAATATCCCTAATTCAGAACTAATTTTTTTTTCCCGCAAACCAAAAGTCCAAGTAGACTTTTTCTGGTCCCGGCGCAATGAGCGCATTTTGGCAGGAAACTCGCGAAAGTACCACCTAACCTTTATGACATTAGTCGCGGGCTCGAAATGAGAAATGGACGTGCGCCAACGCTGTCGGAAACGGCCCCACATGGACGGGTGTTGTCGGACGACGAGAATCGGCATCGAAAGCTGGGCGACGTTGAGAATCTTCAGAAGGCACAAGATAAAGCTATGGAGAAGAAGTTTGGCTGAACCGTTCGGAAAAGGATGAAAAGCGGGAGATAGGCGCGATTCGTCTCGCACTGATAGTCGTCGAAAGTGACGTCGACGTCGAAGACCGCCGCCGAGAAGACGAACATCAAGGAGAGACAGTTGTCGACGACGATGAAGGGGACAAATATTCTGGAATAATGAGTTCGGATTGATAGCTATCGAAATTTCTAGAATTTTTTTGTCATTTCAATTTGTGGTTGGGGTCGGGAGTTACCTGAAAATTGGTCGGAATACTCCTTGATGTACCAGGTAAAGATCCTAAAATCTCCACCGGCACGAATTCCTAGTTTTTGAAATAGGATACCTTAAGTTCGACGAAAAATCCTAAAAGTTACTTAAAAAGGCGATTTTTGATCATTGAGCCTCTGATTCTCAAAAGCTAAAAGTTTTGCAGGTTGAAACTCCCAGTTTCTTCTTAAGGTACATCAAGGAGTACTCTGACGGCTTTCAAGAAATTCCCGGAAACAAATCAAAATGAGCTTCCTTGTCAGAGTTAATCAAAAACTTGGTTTATTGGTCTAGCATTTATTTCAAGGAATCTATTGATGCGGATTAATTTTAAAAGATAAGCCTTGGAATGAATTAATTTTATCAATTAGAAAAGTTCTTTCCCGCTCCATTGCACACGAAGCATTATAATATTTTTTTGATTATTAAGGTATGGGTATTTTTTTATGCTTAAAAAAATTTCTCTTTTTCACATAAATTATTTTTAATCACTTATTTAATTTATACTATATATTAAATTAAGATAGGTTGTCTCAATATCAACTGATAAAAAAACCTGACTAAACGGCTTCATTGTCCACTTTTCGGTTTGAAAACGAATTTTAATTCAATATTTTATGACAAAACTTTTGTTAGTTAACTTTTTGAGGTCAGCCTCGAAGTCAATGTACCACAACGGAAAGACTCCGAAATCACGCCAATAAAAAATTATTCGAGGATAATAGGTTGCGTGTCCAAAGTGAGTAAAAACTCAGAATATATTTTTCAGACTAATTTGAAGTAATTTTCGTTTTTGACGATAGACGATAACAAGCCATTGAAAGTCGGATAAAGATCACTTCAAAAGTTTGAAAACGTCATTTTTGAGTCTTTCTCTGGAAATTTTGTTTCACAGATAATGCGAATTACGGCGTTACCGATCGAAAGTCACTGAATTAAGAGTAAATTTCTGTTTGAATGCTCCTTGCGCAAGTGAATTAGACGATAAAGAGCAGTATATGAGACCTCAAAGCCTTGACATTTTCTGCAAGTTGATATCGGGTCGTTAGCGTGGAACGAGCCCGTGAGGCCAATGTCAGCCGGCGGTTCACCCACAGCAAACACATCAAACACTGAAAAAAGCAGGGTAATCGGATCAGTCGCAGTTCATTCGCTTTAAACTTGGATATATTAGCAGTTATCGGCCCTATATTCGTACATGCACAATTGTAAAAGTATCAAACTTCCGAAAAAGACATAGGCCGCACTGAAATGATCTTGAAAGATCTCAGAAGTTCCAAAAACACAAGAAAACAATTTTCCAAAACTGTCATATTGCAGCTCCGTAGTTTCTTTTTTCATTGATCCGAAATTTTCACTCTTCTTTTCTGTCATTTTCGACCTTTTGAAAACTTCAAAGCTTCCCGGAAAATCTCACCAGGCAAATGCAAATCGAAAAAACCAGCTGTATCGTTTTGACGACTTCCGCGTATTTCGTGTCCATGAAACTAGCTTCGTACCAAACCAGCACAATCTTGAAATTACATTTTTAATCTGTTTTATGATTTTTTCTCACCCCAATCAAAAAAGCGGCTAGGAGGACCGCCCAAAGACGCGATTTTTCGTACCGGTCAACGAAAATCGTGGCTGTTAGCCTTTCCAGAAGGCCGATCAGTGCTAAAGAAATAAAAATTAAAAACGAAGAGAACTAAAATTTCAATTCAATGTCTAACCAAGATTTTTGGTCTGCAAAAAAAACTATATAAAAATAGTAAACCCGAGAAAATTGTTAGAAGTAAAATACCCTTTGGCGTTCTAATTTTCCTGTTTCAAGCTGATAGGCACCGCTTTTCCACAAACTAGAATGCTAGAAACGATTACACCAAAACTATGTAGTTTGATACAGATCATTATGATCCTTAACCTTTATACCCTCACCGATTGGTTGAATATACATGTAGGCCCATAGATAGACGGTGTCGACGATGACACACCAATGGTTGTCCACGCTGATTAGGTCCAAAAATGACCGGAGGGCGACCAAAGCGTTACAGAGAGCATAAGCTGTCACCAACGAAACGAATGAAGTTCTGAAAAATCTGCTTACTAGGGATGTGTCTGAGTTGGACAAAGCAGATCTGGCTCAAACTTTCTGTGGGGAGGAATTGGTTGGTATGAGTACTCGAAAACAAAAATGCTTATACGCTAGCGCCATGGGGTAGCGGAAAAAAGAGGGTCCCTTGAAAGCTGTTTTACTATCTTGAATCTCAGGTTTGCCAATATTTTTTTAAAATTAAAAACATCTTAATTTCAATCTTTCTCTTCAATGGACTGGAAACCGAATTGACATAGTCCCTATCTGCGCAAACTTTCCGTTTTAGAGGTAAAATTCTTTAAATTTCGCGTTCATGACAGAACCAAGTCTATTCCGGAACTTCAAAATTTCATATCTTTAAAATTAAAGGTTTTTGCAAAAAGCGAATATGTGGGTTCGCTTCACAGTCCATCGAAGATTGTGTGGTTTTTAACCCAGCAATTTTCGGTCTTGATTTTCCTGGCCAAAATGTCATTTCCGCGATGTCATATAACATTAGCAGCAAAAAAAGCGAGATCAAACTTCATAGATATGAAAAGTTGATTTTTCAAAAAAACTTTTTCAACTCCAACTCTTGAAAAACTGACGTTAATCAGGATAAGAAGACCTGATTTAGACTTTAAAGTGAGTTAACAAACGATTTAAAGAAAGAAACGAACGTGAAAAGCGGATGAAATGAGTCGGCGTGGCGGAAGAGCAACACCGCGAGGGCCGTGTAGACGAGGAACGTCGGGAACATGACGGCGAACGTGTAGAAGTTCAAAAACTGCTGCCAGGCCATCGAGCAGTTCGACAATGATTCCATACGCTAAAACTAAAGCAATTTGCATGTGAACGTTACATTTCTCAGAACGAATAAAGGCACACGGCGGCTAATAACCCGTAAGAACTCAATTTTCTATTGCCGTTCGACACGATTGTTCCTGGTGCCACACAAACGGCCGAAATTTGTTTGGCGTTTGCGGTTTTTATCAGAAAAGCGTTGTTCGATTCATTTCCTTCCTTTCTTCAAGGTGAATACTTGAAAAATTCGGCTTATAAGACTACCAAGAGCTCTGATTTATTTTAGGTTGAAAATTTTAAAAAAATGCGGGATGAATAATAAGAATATCTTTTCAGAATTTGACAATCTTCGAAAAAAAATATAACTGTCAAATTATTTTAGTGATCCGATCGTGAAAAAAATGAAGAATTAGTAAGAAAAAAAGTCAAAGAAACCTCCCAAGCTCAAAAGTTCAAAAATTACCTGCCTCTTTCTTTAAAAAAATTCCGCTTATGGAAGCTTTCAGACAAAAATCAACATTCTTTTGGGCTTTTTTGAGCCTTTTGACTTCACTACAACCCAAAATTTATTAAAGTACAAAAGAGTTACCCATGTGGGAAAATTCAATGGGTTACCAGAAAAATAGACTCAAATGCCATTTGAGTGGGAAAAAGGTTGATGTATGCCTCAATAAAGTCTGTTGGCTGAGAAAAAAGCTTTCAGACCATTGAAACGAGAAAAAACTTGAGTCCAAACTTTCAAGTTTGTCTGAATATAGTATATTTTTGGTTTGGCTAACCAAATACGTCACCGACAGTCTGCACCTCACACCTTTCACACGCTATTTCATATTTCTTACTCAACGAGTGCATCAGAACAGTGTTCAAAAACAAGAATAATGTATGTCACCCAGGCAACTGATGCGAAGAACCTCGAAATTACAAGAGATTAAAAGTAGGGAATTTATGTTTTTCTCAAGCCAAAAAAAAGTGTGAACTCGTACAACTCGCAGAGAGGAGGAATGTCCAATTGTAGAGTTTGGACACACGGAAAAAATTGCGGGAAGGTCGTCACATTTATCCAAAATGGGACGCATTACAAGATTATATGTTGATTTCTCTCACAGATCTTTTTTTGCTCAATTGAAAATATATGAATGAGATACTGGAGAAAAAAATGAGGCCAAAGGTTGAAGTTCTCTAGAAAGTTTTTTTGAAAAAAACAGGAAGTAATTCGGAGACCTTTCTTTTTTTAAAACTGCTTTTTTTCGAATAAATTCCGATTAGAAGCTGAATACTGAAAATGCCAATATTTCAAGATCTCAAAAAAAGTTTTTCGAACAAATAAGAGGTTTTTTCATCGTAAATATATTCATCTCTACCTTCAATCAAAAGATTTAGCAGAGGGAAAAAATGAAGATCTATTCTCTTCTTGTTTAAAAAAAGACTAAAAGTTCATCCTTCGAAAATATAACACTAATGCTTCATTAATCCAATAATAAACTGAAAATGGACACACGGAAGAACAATAAATCGGAAAAATAGACATCTATACTGATGTATCAAAGAAAATCAACATCAGTTATTTTTAAACAAAAACAAAAAAATTACATATCAAGCCAAAAAAATAAATTTATAAAACGCCAAAGAGCGGTCATAACATTCCAAATATGAAGTTTTCTCACTAATCTACGGAAAAAAACATTCAAAAGTTGCACTAGGAATAAATTCGTTTTCTCTTTTCGATTTTTGAGTCCGCTATTTTTTTCACGTTTCATTTTTATTATTAAAAAAAACTTGCGATTATTTCTGAAAAGAAGCAGAATAAGGAAAAAATTAACTTTACTCACATAAAGTTAATGCATGTAGGCGATAAACGGACTATAACTAAATTCTTTTTTTTTTGGTTAAAAGTGAATAAGCATTTTTTTCAGCAGAGTGAAAACGTTTTCGCGCGAAACAGAAATTTGCTGTGCTTGATACTTCGGAAAAACATTTGAAATATTATCGGCTTTATGATCTCCTTTTTTGGACCACCTGCGATCAATTAGCGTTCATAAAGACTAGTTAAAAAGGTCTAATGCCAATCATAAGTTGGATGAACAAAAAAATGTCTGATGTGGAGATCGAGAAGTTCTTATCGAGGAAAGTTTGAAAGTTCTTGACTTGAATGGCAGAATATCATTTTTTTCTCATTGGGTCGAGGTTCAAAAAATTCAAATTTGAAGGGTTTTCAAACTTTAAAAGTCATAATTTAAAATACTATATAACGATTCAAGAAATAAATGAATGAAGCCTGATATCTGCTCGCAATGGTGAAACTAAGCGCGTTTCAAGAGAACTTGGAATCTGATACAGTAAAAAAACAATGCAAAAACATGAAAAATACCGTCAAAAATTTACTGAATGCCTCTTTTTCACGAATTCATTGGAAATAAAGTCAAAAAAAAAGCAAAAAAAAAACAGTGAACTTCTCGTAGTTTATTATATAGAAACCGCTTTATATTATCAAGACCTTTTTTTAGAAACGCATGTGACAATGCCTCCGCGGAGATATTTGATGCTTTCGGGCAACCAAATAAAACTAAAAATGCTCATAAAAAAAGCTATTTTCCGAGTTTCTGCAAGACCTCATAAAGCACAAGCAATGTCTAATTAACCATTCAAAAGATCAAAAATACAAGAGGCCAAGGAGTTAATTAATTGCGTGAACGGCTTCAAAGCACGCAAACATCTTAAGCTACAAGAGAGGACAAAAATTAAATGCTTGAAAGAAACTTTGTGGTATGAAAGAAAAATATATACGGTCAAGCCTAAAAAAATTATGATAATTTTCAATTTCAGCGTGAATTGCAATAAGGCGATAAGTGCCTTGTTTCTTCCGGCGAAGCAATTTCTAGCAATCTTGATAGAATCAAGCTTTTTTCACCTTTTTCTTACTACGTTTGTCAACGAATGAGGAGGCGCGACAAGTGTTCCAAACTTTCATACAAAAAAAAACATGAGTTAGAAGTGTATGAACAGTTTTTATCGATTTTAGGGCACTCATCATCATTCAAAAGAATATTCAACGTGACATTTTTTGTCCTTTCGGGTCGCTTTTAACGCCCGCATTTTTTTCCCTTTGAAAAGTTATTTTTGAACATTTTCGCTTCCACTTCATTTCCGAAATTGCCCGTTCTCATCAAATTTTTCTGACGACATGAAATTGGCCTTCCAAAGTGAGTTCATTGGTATCAAAGAAAACGAACATGAAAATCAAGTAGAAGAGGTCCTCTCAGCCAGAAGTTCTTCGAGGCCGAAGATCCTGAACGAGAAAACCAGAAGCCGTGCTCTTCGCGGTGGGAGCTGCGACGGAAGACGTGGTTCACGTCTTCGCCGACTTCCTCCGGCGTCACGCAGCCGTCTTCCCCTTCAATTTCCGAGCTTCAGTCGGCGAATAAATAAAGAAAATCGCGGGTTTGAAGGCGCCTATTGGAATGTGCGTAGCTACCGTATAAACATCGCCGATTCTAGGTTCAAAAACTAAAAAGAAGGTGCAGAATATTTGCAACTTAACGGCATGTTTCAAAGTAGAGAAACAACTTCAAAAGGGTGGTAATTTGGGTAGATTTCACTGAAGTTTCAAAATTCCTTAATAGAGTTTTTTCGTCGTCACTGAATACGGAACATTCTAGTTTCAAAGGTATAAAATATTGAAGTTGCGTGGTATTACATTCATATGCTAAACGTAAACTTTGAAAGTTCATATGTTCAAACTTAGAAGTTTTCGCAGGTGCCTATTATGAGTACTCTTTATTTAGATTTTTTTATTTAAAGCAGATTTTCATAAAGAGAAAACTGAAAATGGTTTTCTTATTCGGAGAAAAAATATTTCATGAATATTCAAAAAAAAGTTCAATGCTCACCGATAATAAATGTATACTATTAAAGTTATAAAATAAGTGTATTACCTCAAAACAAGTCTCCACTAGGTTTCCGTTTTTGTCGCGAGACCTCACAATTTCTCGCTCAGACGTCAAGAATAACAGGAGGAGTTTTAGCCTGAAAACTGAATTTCGAAGGAAAGGAAAACAGAAAATGATTGCTCAAATGATATTAAAATTCAAAACAGGCTTCATTAAATCCTGCTAAATTTCAGTCCGCGTCTGTAGAAGAAAAACATCTGTCGTATTTTCCAACATTTTCGAGGAAGCAAGTCAAAAACCAACCCTACCTTCAAAAAAATTGCGTTGGTATTTCGATTCGCGTGAACCCACATCCATGATTTCGTCATCCCTCGCTTCATTTGTCCTAGAAATATTCTCACTTTGTTTGAGATTTACAACAGAAACTTGTACGGGGATTGTCTCGAAGCATAAGCGTGCAACAATTTACGAAAGCCAGTCTTCCGATTCAAAACGGGTAGTAAAATTAAAATTATTGAAGCAAACTATTAAACTTCAAGTCGGTTTCCGATTTTCTAACGACGCAAAAAACTTAACTTAAAGGATTTCCCTTTTTCCGCGGTCCTGAAATGAACTGAGCTATCTCCTTGCTGAAGCCTAAAGCAAGCATCATTAAAAATAAAAGCTTCTTGCTAATAGTTTAAAAACTAACGAGCGCGGTAGAGCGATGCCTATTACGTATTTTCTCATTAAAAATCTCTTTTAGTTAAAATGGTACATTGAGTAGAAACGCATAAACACCGTATTTGTGACCGAAAAACTTGATTTTTGTATTGTGAAGAAGCAGGCCTTTGCAGAACAAAGTTTGCTCTTCCTAGCTAAAATTTTTTTTAAATTGAGAAATAAAATAAAATACTATCCCGTAAGGTTTAATGCTTGCAGTTGAATGCACGTCGCGTACATGTAATGTATACATTTTCTCTACAGTAAATCGATATTAATTTTCCCTTGCAACTTACTTCCCATGGGAAAAGCTGTAGTGGGTCCTAAAGTGAGAGTTCCCCTTCTTTCCTACTAGCCACTTTCTGAAACCTCCTTATAGTGGGTCCTAAATGACCAATAGAAGGTCCTATAGTATAATTCCGTAGGGTTTTTTCTCCCTGTAGGACCCCCTTCAGCTTTCCCCAGTAAGTCACTTGACGCGTTGAGAAGATAATATAAGCAGGTTTGAAAAATGAAGTGGAAAATCAGGCAATTCGAAATAGTGCTTGCCGAGATAACACTATTTACAGTTATTCTGTCACTGATTTCCGCCGAGATCATGATTATCATGCCGTTAACTTTCTCTTTTGAAAGTCAAAAAAAATTCTTGTTTCACTTTTTGCCTTCAATTTGCATCAGAATGAATTTTTATTTGCCTTGAAGGCATTTGCGATTTCTATGTACACAATTTTTAGTTTACAAATTTTAGTGCCATTGGTTTTGCAGTTGATTGAAGTAGTCGTTTTGTGACACGGAGGTCGCGATTTCTTTGCCTAACACGTTGCGAATCTGAAAATTGAACAAGTGTTCGAAAAAAAGCGCTTGGACTCACTTTAACAGTGCCTAGGACGACAGCCGGCGCCACTCCCGAGATTTTACGAAAAATGGCGAAAAATTTGGCTCTCAAGGTTTCGTGGTACCAAACGACGGTGGCCGGCATCACCAGCTGAGCGAGGATGATGTACTGAAAATAATGAAGATTTTGATCCCATAAGTGATCTTATCATGTAATAAAAAAATAGAAATGAAAAGAAATTTTTCAGTTGAAAAAAATATTCAAAAAAATTTGAAATAAAACGTTCAAAAAGGCTGAAACTCGATATAGTAAATCTTATTTGAAACAACAAAGAAGGCTCTAGAAAAACCAAATAACCTTGTAAACTTCAAAAGAAACTCAAGACAAAGAAAAGAAGAGCTAATTCGAAAAATACATGAATTTATGCATAAAAAGTTGAGTTTCGAAGTGGTTTTTAAGAAAAACGATTAAAGCAAGTTAAAATGCGAAGTAATAAAAAGTTACCGTTCTGAAAATGAAGAATAAGGTCAAATACGAGGGTTGTTTCAAGCAGGTCTCTTCATCGAAAATATAATCAACATTCAGGAATTTGTTGCTCAGACCAAATGTCACGGAAACAATGTTGTCGATTGCGATAAATGGAATATAAGTTCTGAAATTCTGAGTTAAACTTTTTCAGTTCAATTAGATTGACCTCAACGCCTTGATATTTTCCGCCAATTGATATCTCGTCGTCAAGTTTTCCTTGGCCATAGCCAGTACAGTCAGACGGCTGTTGATCCATAAAAGAGCAAGGAGACACTGAAATTATCATCAATATGAAATATATAAAGGGAAATTACCAAAGTGATAACCGTCGATAAAGTGAGGGTGATGTATTGTCGGATTTCGGAAATTCCACTGAACTCGGTGTATTCAAAGTATACAAAAACTACCTGAAATATTTGAAATGGAGAAATTCACAAAAATTTCCTTTTTAAGGGTTTCGAAGAAGTTTTCAAGGTCTAAAATAGAAATTGAAACGATATTTTTGTCTTTAGACCATGTCTATGCTCCTTCAAACTCACAGCAAGGATTTTTTGAACCAAGAAAAAAAAAATGAAAATCATACACAAATAATTTGGCCGCAAGCGTAGGCGATCCAGTGACGGGAATTTTCGTAGGTTGAAACTCTTGCGGTGGCCAAAATCCGCTCCAACAAGCTCAAAACCACTGAAATTTGCTCATTTTTCCCATCAATAACCTGGAAATCAAACCAAGAGGCTGCATGTAAAATGAAACACAGGTGTAGATGAAGTCCATGATGTTGAAGACGTTTTCAGGGCCTTCGAACATTATCAAAACGGTCTCCAGAAACGCCAGGATGTTCGAGAGGGCATAGGTTACCACGAAGATTGTGAAAGAAACTCTGAAAAAGTAGAACTATTTTCTATTTTTTATAGATCCGTGAATATCAGCAGAATTTCATACTTATCAATACTAGATGGCGTAAACCGTTTTTGTTCGGGCGCATCTTAAAAAACCCATATCACAACCGCTAAGCACCTAGTCATTCCTCGAGCTTCCAAGTTCACAAAATCAGAAGCAGGGCTCGTTTTTTTTTTTGAAGCGCAAGCTGGGGCCTAACAGAAAGATAAGACGAGTTGATATGTTTTTCTTTCTTCCAGAATTTTGGTAATTCCCGTTTTTTTTTCCTTCCTTGTTGTACAGTCTGTTCACATTTAGAATGTCGTCGTCGCTCAAGCCCCGCCCCTAATGACGAGATAAACAAATCAGAGAGCGAACTGACTTTTTTGCTAATTGATAGTAAGATGAAGCTATTGTCTGCCTCGGGCAAAAAAACCAAGAGTTTTATAAAGTTCCGCCATTCATTATGGGTGGCTCTGCTTCAATTGTTAAAATTACCCAAGTCTGAAATTGGATCTCATTGAATATTTCAAACTCTTCGAAATATAAAGTCTCTGAACCAAAAAACCAAAACAATAGTGCGTGTTATTCTCAAATTGCTTTCGCTGTTCAGAAACCAGGAAGAGAAGGAATAAGAGCTGTTTTCCCGGGATCATTACTCAGATAGAAAAAGAAGTGGAAGGAAATTACATTGAGATAGACTAGGCGGGAAGTACGGTAGGTTTTGAACCTTTGGCGTTTTCCTTAAAAAACAGAGGTGTCCGAATTAATAAAAAAACGTATAAAATGAAGAGCTTCAAGCTCAAAAAATCGAGCGAAACAAGTTCCAACTGCCCGCAAAGCGTATTTATTCCTTTAAAAAAAGCCGTCTGATAAGTCTTATTTTTCACGAATCGAAACAGCCTGGCATGTCTAAACCCTCTTTTCTCTCGGCTTCGATTATCTGCTCTTTTCATTTTTCAATAACTGGGTCGTTGAGTTTCAAAAAAAGCGCAGATGAGCCAGCATTTCGAACATCATTTTTTAACATCGACAGTAGATTCCTAAGCAAACGATGATACGTTTCTCACTTTTATATTTCAAAAAAAAATATGAATTTCGAGATAAAAAAGTGAATTGGAAAAACTCACGTGAAGAGTGGATGGAAAGACTTGGAGTGGTTGAGAAGAACGATGGTCAGAGCGCTGTACAACACGGAACAGGCCCCGAGAGCCACGACGGAGTAGACGTTGAGGAACTTCTGGAAGTTCGGTGAGCACATCGCTTCGACTTTCTCGACTTCAACGATTTCTTCGATTTTCGGAGGGACTGTCGTCGTCAGAATCATTCGCCCCGCTCAGCTGAAGAAAGAATTTCTTAGTTGTTTCCTTTCCAAAATAAGAAAATAGAAAGAAATAAAAGATATTTGTGAATGCTCATAAGTAGTTGATTATGAGTTGTAAACAGCCCAATTGCGTAAAAGACATTTCATAGACCTTTTTTATTTGAAGCTTATTATCCGCGTGCAACAAGGAAAATTTTTGAAACTGGGACGGACTTCATAAATCTTACTTATCATTCTAAACGTTTTTGTAAACTTCTTTTCATCCTTTTTCCTCAAGACAGTGGTCTCTTTTTCACATATTTTCATTTTTTCTGGCAAATTTTGAAGTAAATTAAGATTCCACATAAGCAAGATCGTCCGAATTATCTATGAATGAGGTGAAAAAAAAATCGAACTTTATAGTATTTTTTTAAAGTGAAAAAAAGATTTTCAGAAGCATGTTCAAAGCTCAGATTAAAGGAAGTAAAATTTCAAAGAAATAAAAAAAAATATCTATATATAAAATCCAAGATCAAAAGATTCGAAATAAAATCTATGAGTTCTATAGGGATGATACCAAACAAAGAAAAGATTTAACGTAATGGAGCCAGGTTTTTGCGTTCATCCAAATGCGCCGCCCACTTTTTCGGTCCGGAAATGAAGAATAAGTTCATCTTCCTGATATGATAGTCTACAATCTAGTTTATGAAGCTGTTTCAAATGAGATTATTTATCAAACGATCCAAAAAAAAAACAAAAAACCTCTGTCTCAGTGGAAATTCTGTTAATAGAGAATGATAAATGAGAAACTCTTCAGAAATGCATAAACTTTCGCTCAAATCTCAGTTGAACCGCCTCTTTTACCTTCAGACTTTTTTCTTCAGTTAAAAGACTTTCTTGGAAGATAAAATTGAAGGAATGGTAGTTAAAATTGGTTTTTAAAAAAAGTATTTTTGCAAGTTTTTAATTTTTTTGATTTCTTTGAGTTTTACGTGTTTTTCTTAACTTACCGGGAAGTTTGCACATGTTTCAGGCTGGATGTAGCTTCTGTAAAGAAATATATTGAATTGAAAGTTCTTTTACAATAAAAAAGATCGAGAGAAGAAATATAGCTTAGTTCAATCAGAAAAAAAACTTTCATTGAACGGAATATCAACGAATTTTGTTAATAAGAATAGGCCTTCTTGATTAATTTAAAAGCCTTCAAAAAGTTCCACCACGAGCTTTTTATTCAAAAAGCGTTTTTCCAGTTTTTAAACTTAGAATTTCATAGTTTATGACGTACGTCTTTTTCCCTGTCATTTTCGAAGCTTTCATGAAAATTTCTATAACTTTAATGTTGCAACGTTTCGATTTTTCAAATAGACACCTACGAAAAAAATTCTCAATTTGCGCTTTACGAATATTTTTTTTCGAAAATATGGAATAAACTGAAAAATTGCACATTCGAAAAGAAAAAACCACCCATTAGGCAAATGCCATTTTTGCAACGACTATCTTTTCTCTTGCCTTTCCTCAGTAATCTTCCTAAAAAAGTAAACTCTTGGCTCTTAGTAATTAATTGATGCCTCACTGAAAGTTGAAAAAAAAAACTTGCAAGCTAACATTTTGTTGTACGGTATACATTCGATTAAGAATTAATTTGTTGAGCAAAGCGTTTTTTTAATTGATGAACTTCGGTAGGCACGAATGCCTTGTTTGTCTCAAAACCAAAAAAATTTTCTCAATTTATTCAAAAACAAGTTTTATAAAAAGGGTTCCTCATATGGAATGATTTGCAAAAATTGAAAATTTTTTCTGTAACATTTTGAAAATTCGAAAATTCGAAGTTTTAAAAAAAATCGAAGTTTTTAAAGAATTTTGTATAAGGAAAGATAAATTTTCTACTCATATTCAAAGGAAATAGTGAAATAATGAGAAGGAGCTGAAGATTTGTACGAAATAGTTCCTTTTGAGTCATTTATATCCGACACGAGTCCAGGAAGCCGTCAAGGTGTGACTTCCTCATTTTTCAAAAAATTCGTCGACAGGAAATTTGGTTTCGACCATTTCACGGCGTGAATAACACTACTTTCCAGTTTTCGCCTACACACAAAATCCTTTTCTTTTGAAATGATAGTTTTAGAAGTGGATTAAATATTTAGAAGAATAAACAGAATAAGATATATTAGGACCTCGCGTGGAAAAACCGTTTTCGAAACTAAAATATGGAAACTTCTTCAAGTAGTTGTATGCGCTTAAAGAATAACTTTCTAACAGCTTTTTTATTTCTTAAGATTATTCAAGTTGCGTGAGTGAGTCGCAGAAGTACACTACACAAGAGAACGGGTCCCTGCACGATTTAAATGACCGTAATCGCAAGTTTTACGACGACCCCTCCTGATTCTCTTTCTTCACTTTCTTCTACAGGGAATGCCGTGTCAGCATTTCGGCCACTGATAATTGTGCTGTCGGCTGTAGACCCGCTTTTTATGAAACCTAACTATAAAGACGAAAAAAGTACTTTATTCAAAAAGGCTAAAACAACATAAATTCTATATGGCCAATCGGACGATTTGCTAAATTTCAAAAACTACACAAGAAGATAACACCCGCATCGGCATTTGGGCATAGAAAATGCAATAAGAACACAAAAAACGACAAAAAACACAAAAAAAAAAAAAGAAAAAAGGGGGGTTCCAGGTCGGCAGACATCTGGAATACTGGCAAGAATACGGATCACGGTCCAGAGAGCTCAGCTCAACAAAAAAACACACGAAAATGACAAAAAATGACAAAAAGTAACAGGAAAAAATCAATGGAAAAGGAAGGTGAAGTTAGATGTTTCGAACTTCATAGTAGACACGGCTCTCTTCCTTCTTGCGGTAACATTTGTAGATCTGGAGAAATTTGAATATACAGGTAACAGAAATTCCACTTTCACTCACCTTCTTGCCAATCGTTATCTCATTGTCGACGTTGAGGATGGTCTTCTCGTCGATGATGCAGTTGAGGATTACGGTGGCGCCTTCATCCGTGCATTTCTTGGTGAAGATCTTGTCCGCGACCCAACTGAAAGTCGAGAAGTTTCCAGGAAGGCAGAGAGAAAGAATGAAACATTTCGCCGACGCGATGAGTTTCGCCGTCGAAGTTGCACGTGATGTCGTTGCCGCCGCCCATCTCCGAAACCTGCGTCGACGCTGTCACTTCCACTTTGTTCTTTCCACTCTTGTCCACAATCTCAAGTTGGAACAAATCGATGCGAAAAGAAAAATGGCTGATCATGAACACTTTTTATGCCGATGATCTTATGGGAGATGTTAACGAAATACTCATTTTTTAGTCAATTCTTCCCGAAAGGCGAAAGACGGGATGGGCAGCTTTTGACAAGAATTTTGAGGTCAAACGTAACCTTGGAAAAATATTTAAGAAAATCTCTCCAAGTCGTCTTTCAATCAAGAAGAATCAACTATAAAACAAAACTTATTTCAATTCAAGATTTTCTTATCAAAAGTTTTGGTTTCATGAGAAGTACAGCTTTCTGTATACACTATTTATCAAAATTTGTAATTCTAACGCAATTAAAGAGACTGCTTTGAAGCAGTTTCGACCTTAAACAAGTTTTCTGCACGTGAATAGGAAGTTTCCTGTAAGCTCACTCAAACCGCGACGCGACCTCGACGATTTGAGCCATTCTACATGCGGCCAAGTCATTTCAAGGCAGTACTAATTTAGTCTAGATGAATTTGTTTTTCTGTCAAAATTCTCTCAGAAATCGAAATAGCAAACAATTCTGTTTTCTATGGCGCTGCCTAATGATTTTACTTTAAAGAGTGTGGATTCTTCCTCCACAGCTTGAAGCTAAGTTTGTTGGTTTTTCAAGGAGTAGCTATATTTCTGATATTATTTCTGCCAACTCACATCGCCAAGAGTCGGGTTCTTCTTGTACATTGGCCCGAACTCCTCAACTGGACTGAGCTGAAAAGAAAACTTTCAAAAGCTCCTAAAATTATATTTTACTGTAGTCGTCCTCGATTGGACGGTAGTCGGAGTGACATCACGGCGAATGGTCACAGTGCCGTTGGGTTGCTGGATGCAGCTAAAATGTTTATTTTGTGATTTAATCCATTCACCAAGGTTTGAAACAGTTCGACCGTTTTTTTCAGTTTTTCGAAGTTTATAGCTGTTATCTACGTTTTTTCAATATGAACAAACTTGTAGGTAACTCCGCTCAGAACCAAGCTTCCATTGAGAGGAATGGCGATGCCGGCATCGGAGAGGCAGTTGAGAACTTTGACTCCTGATGGGGTACAAGTCTCCATGAAATTCTTCTCGGCGATCCAGGAATCTCCTGGATTCAAGGAAGTCAGTCCATTTTACATTCCGACTCTTCACCTAAGGCGTGAGTTCCACATGTCTTGGCCCTTCCGTTGACCTCCAAAGTCCTGCGGATTTCGACACGGCCGTTAGCCGCCGCCACACATTCGTATTTCTGTAGGCATTTAATTGTAATAATGATCACGATTCATGAACAGAACAGGCGCGATCTTATCTTTCGCTGGCGCCTTTAAAAATGTCTGCGCCCTGATTTTGGCAGAAAAAATGTCGTCTTGGGGGACGAAAACTGTTCATCAAACTCTCAAGGAGGCTCTCTGTTGCCATTTTTGGAAAGGAGGTGATAGAGATGACCGGTTGGAGAAATAGAAAAGAATGAGTGTTTCCGAGGTGAAAATTCTTTGATATTAGAAAAATGTTCAAAGATTATGCCTTTGTTCTTGAAATCTGAATAAAGGAAGATGGGGTCATCTTCTTTAAACGATTCTAGGCTCAATTCATCACTAAATTAACCCAGTACTTCCATTTCCAAACTGTCTAGGAGTTCTCCTGAAACCGACTGACCGTGTTTCCCTCGTGGACAGTCTGGCCGGGAGCGACGACGACGCCGTTCTGCGTCTTGCAGCCGATGACGTTGGCCTTCCAGCCGGCCTTGGTGACCTCACAGCGGAGGACGAACGTCGACCTCGCCACCTAGAATTCTTGCACGTCTTCAGAAGAAGACGTCGACTCACCCAAGTGTCGCCGTTGTTGAACTTCTCCCCTTTGTAGATGCAAGCTTGCGCGTCGAGACTTGTCACCAGGAGAGAAGCCGCGACGACCAGCGCCAAATGCATGTTTGGCTGCAGAAAATGAAATGAGTCAGACTGGGTCCTCAAACCAAAATGAACAGGTTTATGAAGAGCTTTTAGGAAAGGAAACTCGCGAAAGGTCACTCCTTTGGGGCGAAACGAGACAGGAGTTAAACTGCTAGGAACCTACTCAAATGGCCCATTCGCGTCTTAACGGTTTTGAAATTTTGCGCAAATTTTTACTTTGACAAAAGATCAGTTCGTTCTTGTGGGCTGTTCCAGATAGACGGGAAAGAGATTGAGAAGAGAAACTGGTTCAGAAAATTGGGTGCATTGCGGTCAGTTATGGAAAAAAATGTGAAAAAAAACGGTTACCGAAGAAAAGTTATTCTTCTTCGTTTCCAAAAATAGTTAAAGAACTTTATTGAATTTATATAATAAGTTTGAAAACTGTTATACATATATGGCTCTAATATATTTTAAAAAAACATATCGAGCAGCCTTTTTCCAAGGCTTGTTTCAAAGGAATCCATGAAAACCATTGAAAACTTTTTCGAATTTTTTTGAATGATTTCCTCAAATCCTTTCAAATAAAAAAAGGATTTATTTTTTTGGCTGGAAACAAAAATTCAATGAGGGATCAGCAAATCCGTTTTTTTTTCTTTTTTTGACGATTTTTTTAAAATGAAAACTATGACAAAGAAAAAAACTAGTTGAAAAAAATAAGATTTTTTTAAAAACCTTCCTGAGATTTCAAATCTTATCAAAAAGTAAAAGCTTTAAAGCTGAAATTTTTTTAACATCAAAAAGTCAATTTTTCAAAAAGTTTTGAAACAAAAAGAATCGCAACAAAAAAAGTAGGTTGGAACAACACCTCAGAAGAACAGTTTTTTTTGATAAATTGGTGGCGTCCTTGAACTGGAAAGCGTTTCGCGACGAAACCTACACCGTAAATTGCAACGAAATATGAAGGCGCGAAACGGGGCGGCGCTTATCATTATCATCACCCTGAATCAATTAATTACCATCATTTTTCAAGGTTTCCCGAAGGTTTTGGATTCTCGAAGGGTTTTACCTGTCGTGATTTATGATGAAAAAATGTCGTAATCTTTAGAAACCAATAAGAAGATTGAAAAGAGAACTATCACTTTGATCATGTGGTGGGAGAGGCAGAGCATTTTTTGAGCCAAAATGCAGAAAATTCAAAAATTAGGACTAAAATTGCCTGAAGTTTTTTTTTCAAAACTTCACATATCGAAGCGGAATTTGATAGATCATAAAAAATCTGCAACTTCAAAATATAATCAACAGGTTGGTTTCGTACATCTCTTTCTTTCGAGTTTTCCTGATCCACTCCAGCAGTTCTATGAAGTTCTCCCGAGGCTACGATCATCATGGCGCCTACAACACACTTAAATTTACCCAAATTCTCAAAAATTTGTGAGGATCGTAATCTTTTATAACAACCAAAAAGTTTCACTACTGGAAAACTCATTTCCTGGTTCGCAAGAACGCTAAGAGTCGAATAATACGGAAAATCCTCTCTTCCGGAAGAGATAAGAAATTTTTTAAAAATTTTGGAGGGAAATTTTAAACACAAGCTCCGTAAAATTTTACGCTTCTTGTGCAGGTGTGTACACGAATTTTTTGAACACCGTACGATAAAAAATATTTTTAATCTTGACCCGTTTCCAGCCAGCCTTTCATTTAGCTGGCATATTGAAGAATTAGTTTTCTACTTAGGCCTTCAAAAAGTTCTCAAGAGGTTGAATAGAAAATTACACTAAATTGGAAAAATAATTTCCATAGAATGCCTTCTCAACGCAGATCACTATCAAAATCGAAAAAAAAACAATTTCAACTTGTTCTCTTCGAAAGAATTAGACGATCACTTTACAGTAAAGTTTGTATATTTAAGAGAATTTTTGTATAATGAGTCTACAGTTCTTTGTGCTATACTCATATTTTTCTCGGAGACTTCAAGTTCGATATCAGAACTAGTTGCCTACAAAGAACGTCTAATCATATAGTTCTGCAAGTCGAAACCCCAATTCGTAAACCATACAGCCGATCAGAGATAAAAAAGTTAGCGTGGGCGCCGGAAATCTCTCGAATCAACGGTTTTCGCGGCCTTCACGCCAGAACGAAGACAAATGAGCGTTTCGGCGGCTTTCCGGTCTCGCCATATCCAACTTACCTCGTTATGTTCTGCAAAACCTGGCCGAGAGGTAAACCATGCACGCCCTTCTTTCGGAAAGAAACTTCTGGAGACAACGCCTTCTGATCTTTCTTCATCAGCCGTCGTTTTTGATTAGAGATCTTTTCTGATGAAAAATAAACAGAAAGCCCACCAAAGTTTCAAGTTTCAAAACTCAAAGTTTGAACAGATTTGAAGAAGAATAACAAAAAAGCTTACGGCAAGCCAAATTCCCAAGCCGTCTCCGATCCACGTACTACCGGCTCTCAACGTTGCTTAACTTGCTAGATCGGACGGGATGGCGTGTTTTCAACGTGAGGTGGTCGTAAGCGAAAACGTGCAACGGTTTAACGGTTTATTTAACGGTTTATTGCATCTTCAATGTAAGGATACATGTGCAATCGACTTTCATTGATTTAACTGTGTTTAAACGGCGGCAGGAGCTGTGGCTTAGGCAGAGAAGTTGTGAATTTCGCTCGTAGAACATCAGGTACAAGAGAGGTCGTAGGAAGAAGTACGGTGCCGGCTTTCCAAAGGCCGATGGCAGAGATTGAGCCTTTTCGCTGCATGCAGCTCCCAATTTTATCTACCCCGGAGGGATGAAAGGCTAAAACGTGCAAGGGCTGAGGGAATACAGCCTCGACCTAGGTAAAGGAGCTTTAAATATTTTCAATTCTACTGCCACCATTTATTAAAGAACTCCTCCTGAAAAATTGACACTTCCAGAAATGATGTTGATAAATAAACTATTTCAAAAAGTTGTATTCACCCCTAGCACCGAAACTGATAAGCGCACTGACAAAGAAAAGTGGCTGATGAGTTCTGCGTCGACCGCTTATCGGCTTTTCCGAATTCCAAAACTTGCGGAATTCGCTTGAAATTCTTCGGTTCATTCCACACTTTTATTTCCTTCCTACCACTATCTTATGGGAGATTTCTGACTTTCGAGTATTTAAAAGAAAAATACCAAAAAAGGCGAGGATTTGTTTTCTTTGTCATCTGGAAACAAGTGATCTGTTTTGGTTCGGTTTCCTCACGTGTTGTTTGCTCTTTCAAATGTTCCCTGAAAAAAAAGGGATTGAAGCTTGATTTTCTTTCGGAAATATCTGGAAAGCCAATTTACATCATTTCATTTTTTTCCGCATTCTCAAAAGTCACTCTCATTTCTTCACACCTCGCTTATCAGAGGAATTATGGCCGGATTATATTCTCCGATTTCCTGTAGGGTCTTGTCAAAACCTAGCAAAGTTTTCTCGTTTCTTGTTCCTTCATTTGCTTTGTCGACCCCGGACTTGAATACTCGACGTTTATTTGAAGACTTTTCGGTTTTTGTACATAAGAGCTAAACAACGATATCTTCCTCTCAGAACTGTCTGATCAGTCTTCGCCTTCTTTTCTCTCGAGACAAAATTTCTTAACGACTTCTTTTTTCATTCTTTATTTATTGGAAGCTTGCTCTTAAACTTCTTCTAAACAGTGTTTTGCAAAATACTGAAAAACTACCCGAATTGCGCAACAGAGGGGTCATGCCGCCCAATTTGTACAGACGATGTTTATTCAGCCTGAGTTTGACGTAGTCTAAGCGAAAAAAAGGCGCTAAACTCAGGAAGATCGTCACGCATCCGTTTATTGCAGCAATTTATTTTTTGTTTGTTTTCTCGGTAGCCAAACCGTTCATTTCAGGAGGCTTGTCTGCGGCCGGAGATGTTCAAGAGTCTGGTCCTCTCGGTACTTTTTCTGACGGTGGAGGGATTTCGCGTGATGAACGACGTCGACTCGAAGGGCGTCACCTACTCGCCCAACTACCCGGACAACTACGACAACAACATGAACGTCGACTCCAGCATTGAGGTGTGACCGACCTTCGGCAGAGGCACTTTCCGACTCGAGTCTGTTCAAGAATCGATCTTTTAGGTTGCGCCCAACAGTTACATCCATCTGACGTTTCTGGACTTCAACACGGAAGATCCTTACGATTATCTGAACATCATTGATGCAAACACCGGTGTGTCCATTGTCAAGTGAGGAAATGAATTAAACTTGGAATACTCATTAGATGATTTCAGTTTCACCGGCTCGTTGACTGGGACAACATACGATCTGAACGTCTCGCGGGTGACGTTCAGGTTTGTCTCCGACTTGACCACAACTTACCGGGGCTACGCAATCCGCTTTGAGAGCATACTCGGTAGGGAAGATTTTGAAAATTTCAACTTCGATTTTCGGTCATAATTCAGCGTTTTATTTTGAAAAGAAGAGCTGGAAAAGTTGAGAGAACGGTTTTTTTTCAGACGGCATGACCTACGAGCCAGACAACACGTGTCCGAATGAGACCCACAGCGATTCTTTCGGCATAATCAGCTCTCCGAATTGGCCGCTCAACTACCCGGACAACATCGCCTGCAGCTACCTGCTCACGGCTCCAGCCGATCGAGTGTTCGTCTTTTCTAGCTTGATCAACATCTGAACTCGAAACCTGAAAAATATAGATGGATCGAACTCTATCACAATGATATTTTTGCAAATTTTTTCGACAAAAAGTGGATTTATTAAGCTACTTGATGTAACTCAAAAATAAGTTTTCATAATTTTACAGCATTTCACTCGAGTTCCTTGCCTTCGACACGGAGCCAGAGTACGACTACGTCTGCGTTTACGACGGTTCTGACAAGACGGCCCCTCTTCTCGGAGTGTCAGTTTTTTTAAGCAGTTGGAAGATCTAAAAGAACACGAAGACAGGGATCGAGTCTCCATTATTCTTTGACTTTTTGCCTGCAAATCCCGAGCAATGATAACAGACCTAATCAGTTAACTTTATCAGGATTAAAAGTCAAAAAAGCAAAGTTTAACAGAGTTAGAGCCTACAACAAAAAAAAAATGGTTTCCAGGTTCTCTGGGGTCGAAGCGATTCCGATACTGAACACGACGGGGCCGAACATGTTCATCTACTTCAGCAGCGACCTGGTCAGCAACTACTCAGGCTTCTCGGCGCTGTACCTCGTTCGCTCGGACCAGGACAACAGTCGCCACGGCGTCGTCCCGAGTTTCCTCCAAACGATCGGCTATCAGAAGACGACGACGTCGCCAAGGAGTTCGACGACAGGGATCAAGCCCCTGGCCTCCAAGGTCCGCAACGGCTTCGACGCCTCCATCCGCTGCAAGTAGAAGACGTCGTCGAAACTGCGTTCGGAGTTGCGTTTTATGTAATAAATGAAATGATTATATGATCTCATTGAGGCACCGAATGAATAAATTATTGTTTCCTTGATCACTTCACAAAAGATCAGAAGTCAAAAAGAAGCTTCGATGGGCGTTGGCTGACCCAGCGAGTTAGAGTTAATTTTGGGCGAAAGGCATCTGACAAACACGGAAACTGCTTATCAAAATATTTCAAGAGAGAAATGTTGGCTTCCTATCGAATGTTCAAGCTGCAATTCGAGAAAAAATATTGAGAGGCTGGGAATTCCGATAAACGTCATTCTTAGGTTTTGCCCTCATTTGAGAACTGTGAGAAAAGTGAGATAATGGACTGAAACAAAGCAGGTAAAAGGACAGAGATTATAAAACTTGCAGGAAAACTTTTTGGAAGTATTTTGTTTTCAATGAACTATTCCATATAGTTTATTTGTTTAGAAACAGTTTTTGAAGTTGACGAAGGCTGTTTTCCCGTTTTATAGCAGTTCAGCAAAAAAAAAACTGATTTTGATTTTTATCTTCCAATGTAAGGCTCTTCTGGAAGATATTTCTAACACTTTAATCAGAGAAAACATAAAATATCTTTTTCATTGCTATGATGCCTGGACGACGATAAACTGAAGCGAAAAAAAAATGAGCGCCCCGGCTCCCACATCAATTTCGATTACAAATCGCTGTTTTCTCTGCAAGAAATGTTGCGAAAAGCCGTTCATTACAGCAGCCTGGGGCAAACAAATCCGTCAAAAACGTCTGAAATAAAAAATGGTTGACGGGAGGAAAGAAAAAAAAAATTAACAGGGGGATTTGGAACCCAGAGCAAGCGAGTGTTCATGAGGACAAAAAATAGTTGGATCTGGGTGTAAAGCGTGACGAGGCGGCGGGTTAAGTCAGAAGTGTCGCCAGTTGCTCGGTTGTTCCCATTCTTGCGCTTTCCCCATGATTCCTTAGGATCCATTTCATCGAGTTGTTTTTGAATTCACAGATTTCCTGGTTCTTTTTGGAAATTTTCTACTGTTTCCGTCGGGTATGATTTATTTCGGGACAAACCGGGAACTGTTCATATTTCAAATAGCTTATCAACTTTTATCCCATTTACCATAAATTGCCTCAATTTTGACTTTTCTATGCTCTTGTATTTATTTTCTTTTTTCCGGTGCAAGACGAGAAGACCTCAGAATATTAATACTTTTGGCGAATGATGAATAAATATTGCAAATTTTCACTTTTTTTGTTAGTTTTTAAAATGATTTTTTTGTGAATGTTTTATCCTTGTAAGTTGAACAATGTGAAAAAAATTAGTCCGAAAAATAATTTGAAACAAAGCTCAAAAATTTTTTTAATCAAAGTGCAATTTTCGAAACTTTTTGACTAAGCTTTTTGCAAAAACGTGATTGGTGAGAAAAAAACGAACTTTTTTTGAAAAATTAAGTACTTCCTTAGTCTTTGGATACTTTTTTTATGGTGAGATGAACGAAAATAAAATAAATTTAATAAATATCTATGAAAAATTTACATTCTTCACTAAGTCCGTGAACTTGTTCTGACTCTATCGTAACAGAAAAATAAGTTCTTTTCAAAATTTTTCAAGTTGGTTTTTTTTCCCCCAAAATGTACCGCCCTTTCTTTTCATTTTCATTTCATCAAGCTTCCACTTTAGGGTACTCTTCCCTTTCCAATGAACGCCTTGGCGTCATTGTTGCTGTTCCTTCTGAGCTTCGGAATATCGGCGGCACAGCAGTTGCTCGCGGAACCAAGATGTAACCATTGGCCGGACCGTGGAACCTGCGAAGACCGAGGATTCCAAATCAAATGGTACAAGGAAATATCATTATTCATTCATGAACTGTGGAAAGTGTAGGTATTATGATAGATACGACCATCGGTGTCGGCGGTTTTTCTACGGCGGTTGTGATGGAAACGAGAATCGGTTCGACACTTTGGAAGGTTATTTTCTTCATGTGATTTTTGTCAGCACATTGAAGCTTAGACAAACAGTTGAAAATTTAAATATAAATTCTCACTATTGAATCTAAATTGGATCTGTTGCACAAAATTATCACACTTATTTCATTTGAAATAGGATTTTCATACATTTTCAGGTCTTTTTTGAGAAATCTAGTCACGGTAGTCTTTCTATTCGGAAACTTGATCTTTTTCCGAAAATAAAACTGTCTACACTTAGCATTTTCCCACTTAAAATGAACAACCTTGACTTTTTCTGAGAGCAAAAGCAAGTTTTCAGAATGCTCTTCACTCTGTCGCTTCTCTGAACCCACGGACCGGGATCGTTGTTTCCAACCCCATGACCCTGGATACTGTAATGCCGACATCGAGAGATGGTTCTTCGATTTCCGCAAAAAGCAATGCGTCTGCAGGTCTTGAACTACTCATTTCCTTCAACTGTACTTCTTCAGCTGGTGGTCCGGCTGTGGAGGAAATTCCAACATTTTCTACTCCTACAACCATTGCATGCTCATCTGCGGCTCTTTCGCTGAGCATGGCCCAGGAATCGACGAAAACTACTGGGGCAAGAGAAACGTTAGTTTCATATTCGACGAAGTGAAAACTCGGAAAAATGTAAAAAAAAATGATTCATTGTAGTTTTTGAGAAGCTTGAACATGTGAGATGAAAGTCAAGTTTATTTTTTTTACGGAAATCTTCTGTAATGTTTCCTTAATTTTCTACTACTCATCCATTTCATTCAAAGTACTGAAATCTAGTTTGAGTTATTTTCGAGGTGACCGTCGATTTCCAAGTGCTCTGAAAAAAGCTTTTCTCCTGAGACCGGAACTGACCAGTTCAGAACTTCAAAAAAACAAAAAATTTTCGATCCTCGCAAGCCAAAGTGAACGACGTTATATGAAACATTCAAAGTTCAAGAAAAAAATTAAACCCAATCGCAAACAAGAATCACTTCAAAATTCCTTTTCCATATATTTTCACGATTCTCCTCTTTTTTTCCGGGAGAACAGGAGAATGAAGAAATCTGCAGGGAACGCTGATGTCCGCAGAGTCGAGTCGCGTCCTGGCGCATCCGCAAGCGGCCAACCACGTCGAGCAAGGCTTTTACAGCGTACAAGTTCCTAGCCGCGACATTTCGGTTTTCTTGAGCTGCCCTAACGCCCACTAACCGCTTTTGAATGAATGCAGCCGAAGTACGCGGCCGCGACAGCCCCCGCCGTCTCCTACATCAACATATCTCACATCGACGACGCTCCTCTCGTCGACCAGCCTCTTCGACGCGTTTTCTCCCAATTAAGGTGTCATGTGCTCGGCGATATTACTAATTCTTTAAGAAACCGCTTTGAACGCTTTCTTTTTGCCTGAAAGCAAGCGCTTTTGTCTAACCCTTTATGATAGATTCACCCTGTACAAATAAAACGAAAGATTCGAGCCGCCGCCGCCACCGAAACTGAAGATCCACGAAACCAAGACGCTGCCTGCGCAGGAGCTGCAATCCCACTACGTCAACCGCATCACCCTGGTTGCGATTCAAGCAAAATATTCACAAAGTTTGAAATTCAGTTCCCCAAAAACTACGTGGTTCGACAAGCGTACGTCCCTGCTCACCCATCAAACTTCCAGTACCGCCCAATGCAAAAAATAGAATGGAAGGCGGCTCATCAGAACCAGCAGCCCCTCGTCCAGGCCGTACCTCAATATCAGATGCAGTCCCACCCTGAGAACCCCAGAACGGACATCGTAGATCGTTTCCGAGCTCAGCTGGAAAATCACAAAGAAACGTTGCGACGACAGCTGGAGGCCAGATTCCCAGGCTACGTCATCACTCTCATCCCTCAGACCGAAACCCACGAAACTCCCGATGGAAGGCAAACGGTTCGACAGAGAATCCAGTGGACTGCGCATCCCAAAACTGGACAGACGACCGGGTGGCAGCCAGTCAGCACAAATATACAAAATTCAGTCCCTCCCAGGCCTCAGAACACTTTCGAGACGTCGGCGGCTCCAGTCAAGCAGAAGAAAATTCACAAGACTTATGTGCCGGCGAGGCAGCAGCAGTACTACCAGACGCAACCGGTTCAGCCTGTTCAACCTGTCCAACCGGCACAGCAAGCCGTTCAGTACGTCCCAAGGCAACCAGTGGCGACTCCGCAGCCTGAGAGGTGGGAGGAAAAATAGACTCGACAAAAAAAGTTTGGAAAAATTTGCTTAAACTTCTCTGAGAAAGTCTCAGAAATCTTCTCAATGGTTACAGCTTTCCTTATAGCTTTTCACTCAAATTGTACAGTATTTATCCATTCAGACCCGTCTACACAACGACTCAACCTCCATACAGACCCAGAGAAGTTATCGTCCCACCTACCCAAGTGATCCCAACAGAACCATACAGGTAAAGCTCACATACCCCGAAAAAAGTCCTTGCCTTTTTTCAGAACTGTTCCTACCACTACAACAACTCGGGCACCCTACGTTCCGCCACAAAGAACTTTGCCACCGGCTCAGGCGACACCTGTAGATCAACACAGGTGAAGTACACTTAGTCGTTTCTAAAATATAAATGAAAAGATTTTTTTCTTCTGGCTTTTTAAATTCATAAGTCTATTCATATATTCATAAACTGATGAGATAATTAATTTTTAAACTTTTTTTCAGTGCTAGAATGATTTTTTTCTTTTTTTGGTGCTTCCAAATTTTTGAACGTTTCTCGTTTTTTTAACTTCATATGTTGAGAAAAAAATAACTTGAAAAAAACAGGTGGAAGCAAAAGAAAAAGAAAAACGAATTTTTTTGAAAGCTAAGGATTCCGGAACAGGAACTTCTCGTAAACTCTGACTGCAAACTTCAGAACGGCTGTGGAACGTGTCACGCCGATGCCACTCTCGCTCGATGACATCATCGCGATCGACGAGAGGAACGGAGACGTGCAAGACGACTTCGTGGACTACGAGACTTCTGACCAGCCGGAGCCTGTCAATACTCGACCGCCCCCGAAAGCGACGGCTCCACCAGCCAGAGTGGCTCCTCCAGCTCCACCAGCTCCAGCTGCAGACAAGACTCAGTACTCTATGATCGTCTTCCCTGTTTCTACTAGGCCGCCAGCAAGAAGTGAGATTAATACTCAATAGATATGAACACGAAAAGCTGAAAAGCTATCCAAAATTCAGAATCTTTCATAAGAGATTTTTGTAAAAGGGGATGTTACCATCTCCATTAGACTACTTGTTTTCGAGCTTTTATATCACTTATCATTCTCCTAGCCGAACTTTTTTTTTCCAGGTCCTAGCAGAAGAGATCCGCAAGATGACGAATACGTTCAAGAACTCGGTAATTCTTGTTGTTCTCTCAAAATAAAAAGGCATATTTCAGAGTTCGGCAAGTAGCCTGGTGTCGTATCGACCTTATTGTATTTGATTTGTCTAATAAATTTCGTGGGTTTCCTTTTTTTAAAGTGCATCTGATAGAATATAATCAAAAAAGAGAAGCAGAATGGTATACCGGGTATTCAGTTGGAGTTTAAAGAAAGAAAAAAGCGCTCTCCAAAGTTTTATTAGCACTCATTGTCCGAGGAGTTTCGAAATGGCCCCGAGCTGTTTTTCTTGCTCTTTAATGTGCACATTGGTATCATTGAGGATTCGCTCAACAAGTTTATTATTTTTCTCCAAATCTTTGATTCTCTGCACCAGACGTTCAGCACGCGATAACTGTGTGGCCAGGGATTCTTTTTTCGGCTGGAATTATTTAATTGTCTTGGTTTCGTCGAAAATTACTCACCCATGTGAGATTCGGCGAGGCGTAGGAGCAGTAATATGAGAAAACCGGCCCCGAAGAAAAGTAGCATTTCTGTGGAAGGAGAATCGTAGAACGCGGGGTCGCTATCTTTTCCGAAAGCCATTGGAACTGAAAATTTCACTAAATTTAAATATAAGGAAAACATAATCAATTTCGATGAAAATGGTCAAATTTTTTTGAAAATTTCAGAAATATTTCGAAAAACAAAGAGGCAAGGGTTCTCAAAATTCAAAAATTATCGTGCGCCTTTGATCAAATCTTTTTTGGAACCTTAGAAGATAATATTATTGTGAAAACATAGCCGAAATATGAAGGAATACCTTGCTGAAGACAGGAAAAGCCAAAAGGACGACGAATATCAGAATTTGATGGCCCATTTTATCGCTCACGGCCAATGTTTCCCACAAATCGATTGCCTTGTCATGGGATTTTAATCTCATTTTGTTTCACATCGGAATATGTGTGCAATTGAATTTGAATTGAAGTTTGAGAAAGTGTTGTCAGGAATAAAGTGAAAAAAAAGGAGAAATGTGCAGATGAAATTATTGAATGGAATTTTGTCTTTTGTGTTTGAAAAATTTCAAATTTTTCTCAGAAGGGCCGGAGAAAATACAATAATTGGAATTACCAAAAATTATAATAATATAAAAAAACCTTAGTTCGAAATTATTTTAGTCGTGTCGGTAGCCTTGAAAATAAGCTTTTTGCTTGAATTTCTTTGTGATGTGGGAGCTTTATTCAAACAATATTTATTTCCACAGTTCGCTTTCATGGTTATGAGAGGTTCAACTGCTTGTTGATCCGGTTGATCTGAGCCTCTTGCTGCATGAACTTGGCGTAGGCTCCGCGGAAGGCCAAGGCGTACTTCGTGTTGCGAAGTTCGAGATCCCGGATCCTCTCCAGAAGCTTGTTCGCCGTCTGAAACAGAACTCAATATAAGTAGTTTTATTTTGCAAGTAGTCCGACTCATGAGTCTAAATTGGGGAAAGAATTTCGCGAAAAAATACGTAGATTATTCGATTTTCAATTCATTTTATTCTTCTCTCAAAATGCGTATTTTTTGGAGCTTGCAAAAGGAAATCTGAGCAATGACCGAGCTTCAAATACTCTGACCTCAAAACGGATTTTTTGATCTCTAACTTATCTTCTTCCTAATCTAGAGTGCCCTTTCTTTTGTCCCCTTCCTATTGATGTAGTTCAATGAAAACGCACCCTTGTGAGCAGATAACCGTGTTCTGGCCGTTTAGTTTCTCTATTCTTATCCTTTTCGATTTCTTCTTGCATAAGCCGAATCGCTTCCTCTAGTGGGGTTCCTGTTCTTCTTGAGTTCGGTTTTGGGAACGCAGACTTGGATTCCGTTTCCACTTTTTCCTTAAGAGATAATTTTTCAATTTTTTTGAAGAAAAAAAGCAAATTAGAATTCAGCGGGAATTTTTTTGTGGAAAATCAAGTGAAACTGTTTCTTAGAAAAAGCGAGGTTCGTTGTTTTTTTCATTTTTTTAAAATCATTTCTCAAAAATTTTTTTCTTCCCGTAAGTTTTTTTCAAGTTCTGAAAAAAAGGCCTCAAAACTTTTTTGATATCAAGTCGCTACCTCTTCAGCGCTGTCAGCCTCGGCAGCCTGAAATCGAGTTGCATCATACTTTGAAAGATAATCATTTTCACACCTTCTGGGTAGGCACCACCTTCGGGGCTTCTGTGACGGCTGCTGTAGTCGCTGCTGTAGTTACTGCTGCTTTCCGAACCTTTAATGAAAAAAATGAACATCCTTTTCAAAAACAGGAAACTTTGGGGACTTTTGGAGGTTCTGAAGACGGCGGACTTGCAGTCGTCGACGTCGTCACCTGACAGCTTGCGATCGCCTAAACTAGAGAGAAGTTTCAAGAAAAAAAGAGCATCGAAGATTAGTTCTAAATTAATGAAGGTTGCACTTTTGATAACAACTTTTTTACCCTCATGTCTATCATCATACTTGGAACAAGATTAAAGCAAGCTGGTTAAAAAAATGAAGAAAAACATACGATGGAGACGAGAAGAATCAAAGCAGACTTCATTCTCCGCCAAATGCTAGTTTCTTCTCACTTTGTTCACTTTATACGCATTTCTTCATCTTGAAAATTTTCTCTTTTCCATGGATCGTTTAAAAATTCTCTCAGTCGTTGGCGTTATGGGAAAGAGTGCTGTTTTTGAAATGGAAAAAAAGACAAGGTCGAAAGTGGAAATTGCACGAAATATTTTAAACAGAGGAAACTTTATTAAAAGCAGGAATTTATCGAGAAAAAAAAAATGAGTACAACGCTTTTTTTTGCAGGATATTTTCTTTGCTATATGTTCCATGTAAGTTTTTTTTCTACTAAGATCATCGGAATAAAACTGAAGCAAAAGAGATTAACATTTGAAAATGAAAAAAATTCTGGTCGAATTGGAAATTTCACCTGCTAGGCCAATTCTTTATTCAAAACCTTTCAGTTTTTCGAATCCGCTCTCTATTACCTGAAATTATTCCAGTTCCAATGAGCCGAGAAACAATTCTTTGAGAAGAAAAAGTTGTCAAACCTTTTTTTTAATTTGTTTATTTTTTTGAATTTTTTAAGTTTCGGAAATGTTGGCACAGGAATAGATCAATTTTTGAATATTTTACTAACTTTTATCTACGGTTAGACGAAAAATCACCTGTTTCCACACCGTAGATTCAGAAAACTTGCCACCTCCATTTACAATTGAATACAGTTTCCAATACTTTCTTGACTGTCTTATATTTTCGTAAATCAGAAACTCTTATCAAACCCATCGAATCATTAACTTTTTCTTCACTTCCGACTTAGGTTCGATACTTCCTAGTTAATGAAGAGCATTA